TTCCATATGGAGGGTGTTTCTTTTTTTTCTTCTTTTTCTTTTTCTTTTCTTTTTTTGAGGTTCAACACCCATCGGCATCATCACATCCAGCACGGGCAACATCATGCACTGGTGCCACCACGACCACCCACTCCCCATTGTGCCTGAGCCTGCTCGACATCGGCTGAGATAGGTGGCAGCTCGCGCCCACGGCCGGTCGGCAAAGGCAAGAACTTGATCGTTGCCAAGAACCTCAGATACCTCCCAATATTCTCGCGCGTGACGCCCTCACCAGCACTATCATCAACGCCTGTCCAGCGATCAGCGTCGCCCTTGAGGACAGCCACAGTGTTCCTGTCGTCCAGCTCAGGTGCGCGCGTTGTCGACGGTAGGTCGGATGTGGCCATGTGGAACAATGGCATGAGCGCACTCTGCTCCTGATCCTTCTCGACCGAACCGGCCAACACGAATTCCTCGAGCCGCGTCTTCCACTCCTCGTAGTCAACTTCAGGAACATCGTATCCGTAGTAGTTCAGCGCCGAGAGGAACTCGCTCATGCGCAGTCTCGGGTGCGCAGTGACGTGACAGACATTCACCCCGGGTAGCGGGTTCAGGGCCGAGGCAACGACGACCTTGGCAACATGATCGACTGGGATGGCGTTGACGGTATTGATGATGCGAGGCCTGGCGCCCAGCTGGATGCACCCCTTGAGGAGTCTGATCAAGAAATCATCCGTATTGGACACACCATTGTGGCCGCCGAGAATGTACCCAGCTCGGACGACGGAGCCACGGAGGCCACGCTTGCCAGCCTCGCGAGCCAGTTGCTCAGAAACCCACTTGGTTTGCCCATAACCAGTGCCCAATCCCCCCTGACGGTTTGTCTCTGTATCGTCTGACTCAAGCACCGCGCCGCGGCCGACGGCGACCTGGTCCCTTGAGAGGTTATAGTAGTACTCGGTGTCCAGAGTCGAAGTTGAGGAGACAAAGGAGAAAAGCTTGGCCTTGCCCTCGTTGCAGAGCTTCATTGCATCAATAACAGAGAGTACGTTGCTGTTTAGCATCTGCTCATATCGGGCAATCCAGTGGACATAGGCACCATTGTGCACTATGACATCTGCTGTCTCAGCGATGTGCTTCCAACTGGCATCATCAAGGCCGAGACGAGGCTTGGACAGGTCGCCGAGAACACACGAGATCCTATCCTCCCATGAGTCTTGCCATAATAGATAGCCCTTGAGAGATCTTCTCAAGCGCTCCTTGGCAAAAGCAGCATCCTTGGCTCCACGGATGTGTGTAATGAGCTTGGTGTTCCCCCTCTCCAAGATATCCTTGACTAGGTATGCGCCTAAGAAACCTGTGGCACCAGTGAGGAAGAATGTGGCACCGCTTGATGGGCTCAGGGCATCTGGATCCGCTGTCTGATACTTTTCGTCTAGTGTCTTCATCAACGTATCCAATGATTTAGCATAGTTCGATTCGGATACCTTTTCGACAGCTTTACCACTGCGTAGTTGGTCGATCTGACTGCTCAAACCTCGCAGAGTCGGGTGGTAATAAAGAACCCCAATGAGAATATCCGCGTTCAGGCCCTTTCGTACAGATAGCAGCATTTGCTGGGCGAGCAAGCTGTGCCCGCCGCAGTCGAAAAAGTCCGAGTCGGGCCTGAGTGTTTTGGCGTTTAGGCCTGGGATAAGAGTTGCCCAGAGCGAGGCGACCGCCTTTTCTGTATCTGAGAGGGACTTCCAGCTCGCCAGGTCCTCTTCTGAGGCTTCCTCCATGATTTGCGCTGCATCGGGGAAAGGCAGGTTCGGTGAATCAACCTTGCCGTTTGGATTAAGTGGAAGCTTCTTCAGCATAATAAAGACTGAGGGTATCGAATGAGACGCAAGACGGTCCTTCAGATGGTCACGAACAACCGCCTGAAGAGCGCGAAACCTCTTGAGGTAAACAACAGCAGGCCCAATCTCGATACCCTCATCCTTGAGATCTTCTTGATTGTTGGCTTCCAGCCAGCTCTTCCACTCAGTAAGCTCCGGAACGATATAACTAACAAGCTTAGGCTCCTCATGGGCGTTTCTCCGGACCAGCGTCTTGCAGTCTTGCACAAGAGGGCTGTTGCTCAGATTAGCGTCAATCTCGTTAAGCTCAATCCGGAAGCCACGAATCTTGACCTGAGAGTCAATTCGTCCAGATACACGCACGGCTCCTGAGGGAAGATACTGGCCGAGGTCTCCCGTTCGATAGAGCTTATCATGAGGCCCATTATAAAAGGCGCGCCACGGCTCTCCCTTGTCCTTGGCTTTATCAGCCTCTACCCACGTGTTATTATCGACAAACCAGTTGTCGATGAATTTCTCTTTGTTTAGCTTAGGGTCATTGAGATAACCTGCTGAAAGTCCGGCAGCTCTTATCATCAACTCGCCAACTTCTCCAACACCGCACAACGTCTTATGATCTTTTTGAGATACAACAAGAACCTGGACGTTCTCCATTCCCCATCCCGCGGGAATGGTGTCACCCAGCGAGTCCAAAGCGGCGGGATCCTCTTCGGCGGATGGAATTTCAAAGTAAGAGACGGCCCGGGAAGTCTCGGTCGTTCCGTACATATTTACTATGCGGCATGCTGGCCCTAACCTCTGCAGGGCTTTGCAGTCACGCGTTGTCAGAACATCGCCAACGAAGAAGACATGACGCAGGGAGGGAAACTTGGCGCTAGATGCTGCCACAAGCACATTGCCCATTGCAGGAGTCAAGTGCGTGACGGTGGGTGACCAATCCCGCATCCATTCGCTCAGCTTCTCGTGTGCGATGTCCTCCTTGGCTGGAATTAGAAGATGGGCGCCAAGAAAGAGTGGTGTGAATATGTCTATGTACAAGCGTCAGCTAAAGTAGGACCGCTACCACACTGACATGTCTTACCTCGCTGAATGGGATCGTGGGCAATCCCGCTAAGGCAAGCGAACTTTGAATCTGCTGTGAGGTTGAAGCGCTTCGACATCCAGGGAAAGTACTTTGCCAAGCTGTAATGACGCCCCAAGACACATTTAGGCCTTCCCTCAGATCCTGAAGTGAAGGACATGACAGAGACAGAGTCTGGGCCGACTAGAACGTCGGGGGGTGATGAGGCTTTGGAGCGTAGTGTGTCGAAGATATCTACTCCATCCTGCTTTCCGCCGAAGAGGATGCCGTCGTCACTCATTCGGAGCTCAGGAATCTGGGTCTTGAGAGACAGTTGCTCGTCGACATACCTCTGCACGAGCGGAGCAAGAGGCCTGGAGATGACTTGTTAGCACAAGTAAAGGTGATTTAGTGATGATGGTGGTTGCGATAGGTAGATAGTGATGATTTGAGGTGTGTGGTGGGTGCGTGGGGGAGGAGGAGGAGGAGGAGGAGGAGGGGTGTTTGCGACAACGCAAGCACGGAACACACGAACCCATTTTCATCAATGGTCTTGCCAATTGAGATCATGGCCTTGGGCTGGGCCGACTCGAGATAGACTACCCCCATTAGTTGAACAGCGTCATCAAGAATAGGGCAAGGAAAGCCTACTCTGCTGCCTTTGCGGCGGGTACAGCGGGTCGAGGACCGTGACTGTAGCTCCAGCAGCCTGCAAGAAGATGTTGGTCAGTCGAGCCCAATTGAGGCGGATGTGATGGACCGCACCAAAACTCCCATAAATGCGCATATCAGCTCTACAGTTCTGTTGGCGAAGATCATGACCACATCTCCATTGGTGATGCCAGCATCGTGCAGATGGTTGGCAATTGTGTTGGAAGCTTCGTATATTTGCTGATAATTGAAGCTTCTCGTCGGCGACCTGGATGAGACTTAGCAGCTGGAGCTGGGAGAGTCGGATTGGACAAGACTATTTTCTTACGTCGAGCTCTTGGTCTCTGTCACGCAAACTCGCGAAGGGTGCGCAAGAGCATTCTTGCCAAAGATCTCATGGATTGCACCGATGTAATCACTCCACCCGAGATCTGACGTGGGGTCGGGGAACAATGGCTCGGCCATTGCGGTCGTAATTCTTGCTGGGCAGTCTATAAAACCAAAGGAATAGCTGAGAAGGATGTTGATTGATGATGGGGCGGTAGATGAAGCAAGTTAAGAGGCGTCTCGAGGCGCTTTACTGAAGTAGTTTTTCTCGCTATTATGCGTCAATGGAGCTCCGATTTTCGGGAGGGGCAATTCCAAGAAATCCCAATTCAAAATGTAGGGTGGCCAAGACTGGAAGATTCACCATGAAGCTACATCTAGATTCGTCCCAATGACTGAAAATGAGCAGTATACGATGCAATAACTACGCCTTGTGAGCATTAGCAAAGCCTGTAGAGAAGATAAGACAGCCTTGAGCTTGTAGGAGTGCGCGCTGATCTGCAGAAGCTGCTCACGTGATCAGTACCAACTTGCCGGTATCGTCACCCATCGCCTTGCGTTCCAACTCTCGTGTCGCACCGGCAGATTCTAACATGGAATAGTTAAATTGGAACTGTATACCACCAGGAAAAAAGCGGAGGTGAGCAGAGAGCTGTTGCCCAAGGCGTTGTGTCAGTGAGGAAGGCGCGCTTGAGTTCTCAGGAGCACCTGCTACGAGGCCGTAATAGCAGTTGGCTGCCTCCTACTACTCCCGCAGAACAGGAAGTAGCACATACCTACCTAAAGATCACATCGATTTGGCCTCGCTGCCTGGTGCTCACATCGGTTGTCCCCTACAGTGGTGATGGATAATACCTAAGCATTGATGACCGACCCACCTTTGGATTGGAGTAAGCTGCTACTATTACTGGCGGATTGCCTAACGAATGTGTTGATCCCTAACCAGCTCAGCAATGCTTATCCCTGCCCTCACTAACCGTCCTCCTCGCACATGACCATGGTCACCACGACTGTAGCAGCTTGATCTTGGGTGGCGGGAAGCGGAGGATGACCAACTGGCAAAGACCGCCATTACCTACTTCGAGCAACCCGGATGCCTTGGTTCGACGACCTTCCCCATCATTGATTCATTGCGAGGCAGCATGGGCAACAAAGCATCGCTCGCGGCGGATCTGCCTACCAGAGCCCGTGCAGCCGATACTAGCCGTCGTCGCCAGCCTAATGAGCTCTGCGAATGGTGCAGCAGGCTCGAAGTCAGGGCCATGCTGCTGGAGGAAAAGGTCGAGGTGAAGATGGGACCCCTTTCAGAACATCTCACGCCAGACTGTCCCTTTTGCAACCTGATATCGGGGACAATCCGTCAAAACTGGGGTCCTGGTTGGAGTTCGGAGCGTCTGTGTGCTGAGACTACTCCCGTCCCCCGGATCTTCATGCAGAGTCGCAGCCCTTTCTCTATTAAGATCAACGGTCATATAGAGCATCCGCAGCCACGTCTTCTCATGGCCATAGACGTGAGACCGCCGGGTTACAGCGAGAACCGCAGGGTCATACGAGAAGTTGATCGCGTGAAGGACCGTTTCATCATTGCTGAAATAGAATCTGTGCCTGGCGACTATGATGACTCTGAGTTGAAGGAGGCATCGCTGGTCCCCCGCCGTGATGTAGGACCGGAGATCGACTACAAGCTCGTCAAAACATGGCTCAAGCTCTGCCACGACCATGAGCATACTCTCAAAGCCAAAGAGCTGATGACTTTTGAGATGTTCGATAGTAGGAACGGGTTTCGCCTGATAGACGTGGAGAAGCAATGCCTTGTTCTCGTCAAGGAAGCTTGCGCTTTTGCAGCACTCTCCTATGTTTGGGGGAGACTTCCGACCGTGTTGCAACCAGGCGACAGCAATGGACAGAAGCCCGTCTTGCTCACTACACTTGATAACCTTGACAAGCTGAGTACCCCTGGAGGCCTATCTCCCGAGGCGATTGACAAGCTGAACACTGGTCGTCTGCCTCAGACCATACACGACGCCATGCTCTTCCTGCGGACTCTTGGCATGCGATATCTTTGGGTCGACACCCTCTGCATCGTCCAGGATGATCGAAAGGACAAGGAGTTTATGATTCAGAGCATGGACGACGTCTATGATCATGCTGCGGTCACCCTCATTGCTGCGTCGGGAAGCAATGCAGACGCTGGTCTGAGAGGTGTAAGCTACCGAGACGGCCGGCCCATCAACTCCTTCACCATCATCGACGACGGGATCACGGAACACCTCAGCATATGCCCGCCATCGCTAGGAGAGGAAGTGCGCGCTTCGGTTTGGAACACTCGAGGCTGGACATTCCAGGAGCAAGCGCTCTCACAGCGGTGCCTGTACTTCACCCCCGAAGAGCTCTTCTTCAACTGTATCAAGTTGCAATGGAGAGAGGCATATGCGCTAGAATCTATCGATCCAAAGACGAAACTGGAGATGAGGACAGGGCCGCCATGGTGGAACAGGAAGCTTAGACAAGATTTGGATCCGACTCCGTATCGATACCTGGGAGACCTGACAGGCTCGCTTACGATGAAAGACTACCAGGCCGCAGTGCAGGATTACAGCCGGAAGACGCTCTCCTTCCCAGAGGATGTACTGCATGCGTTTGAGGGAGTCGTCAACAGGTTCAACAAATGCACACCCTTTGGCTCCATATCATTGGAGCAGACGCAGGGCATCCCCGTTCACCTTTTCCACAAGGGCCTTCTTTGGTTTCCTTCGGAGGAGGCGCACAGGCGGGTCTGCCCCAACATAGAGGGAGCCCGTTTTTCCTCTTGGTCGTGGTAAGATGACCGGCATAAAATGGAGCCATGGGAAATTTTACAAGATGAAGATCTGGCTAACTGTTATCTACAGGGCATCCTGGGAAGGGCCGGTTGAGTTTGTCTTTGCAGACAGTCTGTGGCTTTCAAGAAACATTTCCTATGCGCCGCACCACAATGTCCCGATGCACATGTTGATACTAAATTGGCATTACGGAGGTGACAAGAAGACTATCAAGTGGCAGGATGTATCTAAGTGTACTCTTAAGCGAGGCAGACCAGCAAAGACGGCTGATCTACCTGATCCAACCAAACTACTCCGGGAATACGTTCAAAAAGACGTAGGGATAGATGTAGACGCGCTGGTGATCACGGGCAAGGAGGACGTGATAGAGTCACTAGGGCTCGGCGATGTGGGGTTCCGGGGGGCCTATATCGATGCCGCCCACGTTTCACTCTCAGCGAAGGGCAAAAGCAAGCGGATACACGCGTTCGAGTTTGGCGGCCACCGCGGGGAGTTTAGATTTGACGCCGAGGGCTCTACTGAGGTGAATGAGTTTGTTGCCGTGCTCACAGCCGACACGATCACGAAACCCCCCGACATTGAGTCCATCTTCCTGGGCTTGGTGACGGTTGACGGGGTATCAAGGAGAGTTGGCATTGGCTGGGTATACTATTCCAGAGCGGAGAGCGCGTCGAGACCGCCTTGGGAGTACAAGTTCTTCACGCTGAGATGAGTCACGGCAGTCTATACGATAGACATTCTAATAGAGGTCCTGGTATAATAACACCGTCTCTACTATCATAGAGGATAATGCATAATTATGAGTATCCACCCGCTGGGAGCTTAACCGGCGAGCTTGGACTAGTTCCTTCATGCATGGCGGCACCAGACTCTCTCTCACGAAGACTATGGTGGTTGTTGGAAATTGGCTGTCTGGGACGCCGCGCAAGCATTCCTTGTTGCCGTCAAATATAATCTAGATTAGCATTCTATGCCTAGTAGCGTAGTGTGAGTTGATTTTCCAGGTGATGGCCAACTTGGCCAAAGGACCATCGTCAATTCGGCGATGTTTCGGATTTAGGACAAACACCCCCCTGCTTATTCGGATATGCATCACCACAGCGAACCCGCTGGACCGGGGAGTCGTGGAGGGGGGCGACAGACGTGCGCTCGTTGTTCGTCACCGAGTGAATTTGAACAGACTATTTGGTTTGCCATGTTTCTTCATTGTATGAGTGAAATAATCTAGTAGGGATGGATAGAGACCGCCATTCTATTTGTCTAGACGATCCGAAGAAGAAGAAAAAGAGAATACCTCCAACCTTGGGTATAGTCACAGGCCCAACTCCTCAAACCAAAAGTAAAGAAAAAAGAGGAAGCCTTCTTTTAGATAAAAACAAGGCTTCCCGAAAACTTTTCAACTTTCTAAAAAAAAACCGAGGAATGTTTTATAACCTCTCTAAAAAAACGCCGTTATCCGAATATGCCGAGGGTAGAAAAAAAATAGAACCAAAGCCCGAACGCTCCAAAATATGCGCAGCCGAAGAAGTAATTTTGTACCTGGTGGAAGCCAGGAGAATGAGAATGTCGTAGAGGGGAGTGGATGATAGTACAGTCGTGGTGAAAGAACTGCTTTTCACAGCAGTCTCTGTGTCATCATGGGTCTAAAGGGAGAGAATCTTGTTTCAAGGATTCTCAACTGCGCCTCGCCATTCACTGTACCAGCATCGTCTCCCGGTGTTGCCGAGCCTTCTCCTCGGCGAAAACGATTCGGCTCATCTCGAGAACACGCTCGAAGCCCTCCTTGCCCTTGGCGGCGTTCTCGCGGAAGCGATTTACCAGGGTATCTTCGATGCTGTTCTTGATGCGCTGCCAGCCGCCACAAAGGGCGGTGATGCGGGCGCTCTGGATAAACTGGGTCTGATGGTCGGTGAGGGGGCTATAGACCACCTCCTCTTGTACGCTAACCAGGTTGTTCCAGGTCAGGTTCTGGCTCACCATGGTGAGGGTCTTGTTTGCAGGGTCGACATAGGAGGCCTCGTATACGAAGTGATCATCCATGGAGCCGCCCATGAGGGACTTCATCCATTCGGGAGCAGACTGCTTGCAGGTAATCAATCGCTCGGTTCGCAGGATGCCGGTAGCAGGATCGACAGAGCGAGCGAGGGTGTCGACGGCCACGACATGCTCGGATTTGTTGTTCCAGGGGCCGTACTTTTGCCAGTTGGCTGTGGATACCTCGTCCCACGAGTAGTTGTAGGTGACGGCGTTGCTGAAAACCTTCATTTTGAAGTTGTGTGTAGGTTCAAAAGTGAATGTCTTTTTTGGTTCTGGTGGACACGCGAAAGGGGCAAAAGATCTTGGCTGATAAAACAGTCAGAAACTTTCGCGTGGTCCTGGATTGAGGTGGTCGCGTGTGACTGTATCGGTGGAAAGAGGCTCAAATTTTCTCTTTCTATTCTTATCGGCTCGGTAGGTAATTCCGGGAGGTCGCGAAATCGTCAATCTTCCAAAGTCGTAAATCGTCAGGTGTATGAAGAAAAGAAAGAAAAATGGAAAGTGTATCCGCAAATCCTGGACACGGATGTCTTCTTTTCTATCCTCGCCGGGGTCTATAAAGAATTGATGCGTGTGCCCGCGTGGGTAAAGAAATAGGTCTGGAGATAAGGGGAGGGAAGCGCCGAGAACGGGGTGGGACAATTAAGCAAGAAAAAACTTTGCGGTCTTTTTTTTTCTTCGGTTCACTGCCTCACACCCTTGAGGGCTCCTTCCCCGGGAGCCAACGCGATCTCACTAAGGGATGTACTAATTTTTATCCGCATGTGATAGGACGCCGTATTGGGTCTAGCGCATCGATAGCAGCCTCCCTGGAGGAGGGATTGGCACTTCCACAACCCCGGAGTGGCTTCCGGTCCTTGTTAGGGGAGCCACAACACAGTGCAGTACCAGTCTGTTTACGGTAAGGCGCCAAGATGGGCGCGAGAAAGCCTCGGAAGCAGCTGAGAACATGGCGCTTCTGATTGGCCGGGCTCTTCGCAATAAGCGGTAAAGCCCCCGGTGTCGTGTCTGGCAGAAGGAAGACTCGTTGTGGAGCACCATTCTTCGGCTCTCCAGAATCTCATGGACCAGCGGGTGGGAACGGGTGGCGACAGTCGATCGTGCTCGCACGTTCGTCTCATCAAATCAGAGATCATCTAGATCGGCCTGCAGAGGCTTTGCACCGTACCATGACTTCACCCATCGTCAATGTTACTGTATACATGCCGACTCAGCCACTTGGAATTTTTTTTTCGGTTTGCCACTCTGATTCCTCGGCCGTGGCATGTTCTCGATAGCTGCCATTCCTCCTAGATCGCTGTGACTTTTGCCTAGCTATGGTGTCGATATGATTCGAATAATTACACATTACTAATTCCTTCCAGATCATCGGACAGTTCGGTAATACACAGTGTGCCTATATTGGCATGATAAGCAGATCGTAGTCAGACGAACTGTGCTATTTTTACTGTCTCTCGATTAGTAGAGACAATCCATCAAGATCGGAACGAGGGAGTCGCCTACTAAGATCCATATGCCGAATCGAGGTGATGGGTGCCCCAAGAAACCCCAAGGACCCCTAGATTTACCGTGCACGCGAGTCAATTCACACTTGGGGAACTAAATGTGGCGTCTTTGCTTCTATTTTAGTTTTCGTCTTGCCCACCTCTGCATGCCTTTGTTCATTGTGCTCCCCGAGTCATACAACTGCCGGGTCAATTTCGTGGCAGCCACTATGTAGTAGACGGTTTATGTAAGTTGAGGAGTGCATCATCGAGACTATTTACTCTGGTCGCCGTTTTTTGAAAATCTGGGGGGAAGCCGTGTCTCAGAATTCATCCCACCATCTCTCGCTGGTTCCTCGATCACCCTCCTCTTCCTTCCTCTTCCTTAATAGTCGTCTCCGCGAGAGATGACCTCCTTCACAGTGGGTCGAATCAGAATAGTCTGGAAATCCATGTTAGCATCAGGAGAGGCGTAGTTGTATTGGTTGGGAACCACTCACATGCTCGAACTGAGCAGTGTACGAGCCCTTCTTGTCACACAAGGGCGGGTAGGCGTCAACAACACCGGCATTGACCAGATTGTTAAGCTAGTTAGTGTTAGCACTGTTGAGGAACCCATAGAGATATTTGCTTGGCTGCCACGGAAGGAGGACTGCCAGCCTGAATCTTGAGAGAACACTCACCCCGAGCAGGTACTTGTCCTGGCCAATGCGGTCCAGGTACCGCCTGCAGAACGGCAGCGTCCCAAAGTTCTTGTTAATCACGCTGAGCAGCGACTTGGCCGAGCTGAGGCGCAGGTCCACGTGGCCGACGTCCTTGTTCTTGGCGTAGTGCGACGTCTCCATGTCGTCCCTCACGTAGCCGTTGCCCGTGCTGCCAAACGTCTCGATGGCGAAGACGTCGCCCTCCTCCATCTTGGTGCTGTCGTTGCTCTTGACGATGGGCACGGCCTTGGTGCCGTGGATGCTGTAGGGCAGGATGTTGTGGCCCGTCAGGTTGCGGATGCTCTTGACGGGGTAGGTCTGCCCGTCGATCTCGACCTCGAAGCTCTCCATCGTCTCCTGGATGACGCCGCCAATCTCCCCCACGCGGGCGTCGATGCCCGCCTCGCGGATCCCCGCGTTGGTCGCCTCCTGGACGGCCTTGAGCAGGTTGTCGTACTTGTTGTCGAACGCCACGGTGAAGGCCGAGTCGACAATCTTGCCGTTGACGTGCACGCCGAAATCCACCTTCATCACGTCCTCCTGGCTCAGGACCATCTTATTCCCGGCGTTGGGGGTGTAATGGGCGGCGCAGTGGTTCAGGCTCAGGCCGCAGGGGAATCCCATACCGCCGATGAGCGCATCGCCCTCAGTCAGGCCGTCGTGACCCGTGAGCGCCCTGACGCTGTTCTCGATGCCCTCGGCGATCTCCGTCAGCGTCTGCCCGGGCTTGATCGACTTCTTCGCATACTGCCGGACCTGGCGGTGGATCTCTGCGGCCTCGCGGTAGTCGGTCAGGAAGTCGCTGTTCAGGTTGTCCAGGTGGCGCTTCTCCTCGCTCGTGGTCCGGTAGCTGTTGTCCTCCCTGTACTCGACCTCCTCGCCGGGCGGGTAGTCCTTGTTGGGGAACAGGAGGCTGACCTTGACGGTGGGGGGGTACGTCTGGCTCGTCGGCGTGGCCTTCTTCTTCTTCTTGGGCTTTCTCTTCTTCTTCTTCTTGGCGGCGCCCGTCGCGCCCGGGGCAGCGCCGTCCTCCTCCTCGGAGTCGTCTACGTGCTCGTCGTCGTTGGCGTCGCCAGCCTTGCCGTTCACCTTGGCGGATGTGTCATCCACTAAAACCCACGAAAAACGACATCATCGCACGTCAGTAAATTGAGATCTCCGGGATGGAATGGGACCTGGGTGGCGTGTGGACCTCACCTTTGAGCTCCTTCAGAGCCTCGGTGGGAGCCTGGGCTGCCATGTTGCTCTTCTGGTGGGATGCGAGTGTTTTGGTGCAGAAGAACTGGTTTCAGAGCCGCGGCGCCGAAGAATTATTCCTCCCCATCCAACATGTGTGGGCAGCATTCGCCCAGGTTGGCAGCCACTGGACCAGGATGACCCCGCCAAAAATCCATTTGACACCCGGCACAGCGCACAGACCAGTGGCACACGGCCGATTACTTACCGGGCGGTACCTCGTCCAGGTTACCCCGCGATCATTGCTTGCGGCTCATCAAGGACGGACTCGTGCTGCTGGAGTGAACAGAACAACTGATGATATTTCACCAGATGCCGGCTTCCAGGGTGCATTCCGCTTGTAATGTTTCCGCTTCGCCGGCCACTGCCTTGTTCGCCTATGTACCTCGTGACGCGAGCGGTTCCCTGTCCCGCTTAAGTAGCCCGGAGAGCTGTCTGTTGATGTAAGTGGATAGAGAGATAGAGGGGTGGAGAGGAGAGCGTGAGTAATAATGTGGTAGCGAATCGAGCACCGCCTTCATCTACCGGCTGTTTTGTCAAAGCACATGTCCATACTCTCAAAAGAATCATTCCTGCCCTGCCCGCTGCCCATTGGATCTGGAGCCCTCGTACTCGTCCTTCCCTTCCGCCCAATCCCTATCGCCATTCTCAAACCCTCTACTCTCTCACACGAGGCCAGAGGCTAGGTCGAGTGTCGTCCTCATAGAAACGATGGAGGCTCAAGTGGAGAGGCTCGTTGATAAGGCCTGGAAGATGTATGAGCAAACACCCTCAGATAAACGCTTGTGTGAGTAGACTGCCCATACATTTTACTCAGGTTGGCCACCTACTGCAATTGACCATTGGGGACAACGTTTGCGCTCTCAAATATCCTTTCCTTTATTCAATTATCCATCGCTCGCTAACATGTGCTAAAGTAATAGGGGTTGCGGGCATCCCTGGCTCAGGTAGGTAAAGATCCAGCTTCCCAATCATCAGTAAAAGACTCTATATAGTGACATGAATTTTAATTTTTCTTTTCACTGCGAACAGGTAAAACGACACTCGCCGCCATAGTCAGCAGCCGCTTGCAAGACCGCGCCAAGGAGGCCGGGGCCAACGGCCAGGTATCCATCGCCCTATCCATGGACGGATTCCATAAAACTCGCAAAGAATTGTCGGCCATGCCAGATCCAGACACCGCTCATGCCCGACGCGGTGCAGCCTTTACATTTAATGCCGAGAAATTTTTGGATCTCGTTACGAGCCTAAGGGACAGCATTGGGGCGCCTGTCTTTGCGCCAACTTTTGATCACGCCCTCAAGGATCCGCGGGAAGCCGACATCGTCATTCAAGAAGCCGCCCGCATCGTCATAGTAGAAGGACTCTACGTTTCATTAGATGAGCCGGTATGGAGAGATGCAGCAAAGCTGCTGGACGATATCTGGTTTGTCAATGTCGACTTCGAGGTGGCTCGGAAACGATTGCGTGAACGACACGTGAGAGCCGGAATTGTCAAGGATTTAGAGGAAGGAGATAGGAGAGCCCTCGAAAATGATTTAGTCAACGGAAAGGAGATTGTCGAAAAGAAACTGCCAGTCTCCGAGATTATTCAAAGTAGGGATGACGGTTCCTGGGTTCATGAGTAGCAAGGTGGTCAAGCATAGCGAGGGCGTTGAAATGAAATGATTCTTCAGCATCCATAATAGCTGTGCCAGGAGAAGGGCTGGGATTGTGATGCCAAAATGTGTGCAGAAAAGGTGACAGGGTTCGAGGGGGCGTCATATCAGGCATCTCGGTATACCTATGCTGGTGTATTGGGCTATTCGGTCGAATTTCTTGGCCCATCCTCTACCGCAGGTTCTTCCTCTCTTCTGTTCATCTCGTTCATCCTCTGAGCCATGCTCGTTCCAACACCTTTCCTGTTCTCCAAGGCCGCTGCCCACTGTTGTTTACCATTACTCTCTTGGTGTGGGGGTTCCAGCCCCAAGATGTCCATTAGCTCGGGGACTTCACAATGATCACGAGTCGTTCTCATCCGATGGCACCAAGTGACAGTTTTCTCCTCGACATTCCCTTCCTGTTGCTGGTCATGCTGTGGGTAATTATGTGCCAATTCTCTGAGTCCCTTGGCTTTGAACGGGTCCGGCTGCTCCTCGGTAGGTGTGCTGATGGGTGTCAACAGCTCTTTGGGCTCGAACAAGAACTCCCCTCCCACCTGCCGCTGATTGCCAGATTTGAGCGTCATGCCCGAAGGAATAGCACGCAAGGCCTGGCCAATACTGTTGAATACAGAAGTAGACATGGGCCTCTTCATGTAGGCGGGCTTCGTCCCCATTGCAAGCGTCAGTCTCATCCCCAGGGCATCGAAGAGCAAGCGCTTGGGGTCCGTGTAGATTGGGAACTGGCAATTGGTCTCCTTGGCGTACATCTCAATCAAACCAGGGTCGCCGCACCCGATAACAACGATAAACGTGCTGACTGGGAGCTGTAACAAAGAGGTGGGCGTAACCAGTTCGGATAGTGACCGCATATATTCTTGACAATTCTAATATTCGCGGAGTCAGCGGTTGGTGTTTTACTCCGAGACGTACACACCATTGCCCAATGCAATCCAAGGCAGCCTGAAGCGCAATTGAACAACACTTTGACTTACACCACAGAAGAAATGGCGAATAAATATAACAAGTACCCGGCGAGCTACATTCGGTCCCGTATACAGTGACCTGAAGGGGTGCGTCCTGCCATGCCGATCCAGCACGATATAGTTCTCGATGCTCTTCAGGGTTTCGTTGGACGGTATGTCGTCGGTGGTCTGGATCTCGCCCTCGAAATCCTGCGGCCGCGTTCTGTCAACCTCGTCATATGCCGGAGGGGCATCCCTGTAGGGTGGTGGAAGGCTATATATATCTTCGCTGGCCCTGCCGGGGGCTGCGTCCGCAATCGAATCCGAGGCTCTCGTGGACAGCGTCGGCAGTGCCACCGCCACTGTGTGTGCTCGTTGTCTGTTCGCGGCATTGTCGTCTGGCCTAGAAGACGGTCCCGGCGACAACAATGCAGCCTGCGTCTCGGCGGCTACCGGTGGATTTTGCCGGGGTTCCTCTTGTGGACTTGATGGTTGTGGTTGCTGTTCTGGCCGGTGCTGATCCTCCTGCTGTTGTTGCTCCTGCGACGTTCCTTCCTCTGGCAGGCTCAGGCTGCGCCCTGGTACAGGCTTCCTCCTCACCGTCAGCTTTGGCTGGAGACTCGCGGGACCGCCCTCTTCCGCCATCTTGGTGTCGAAGAGGCGTGAGGAGGTTGGAGATTCCAGAGGCCAGGACAATGCGGCCACCTGGAATACATAAGCGAAGAAGGAATTTTAGCACGAGCAAGTAATCCCCAAACAATCGCTTGGACCTCGAGCGACGATACTATGGACAGACCAGCTGGGGATTGGGGCTGTGCCCAAGTGCCTGCTACCTGCCAACCACTAATCTTGACCACCCGCCTGTCCCTCTGCATCTGATCACCCCCAGTTAGGTCTCACAGTGGGGTTGAGGGCGCCAAAAGTGCACCACTCCAGGCCAGCGACAGCTGCTGCGCCCTCTTGGACGTCACCTTGCCCCTGGCAACTGCTCTCCAGCCGCTCCTCGCTAGTCACCTAAAACCCATCAAGCTTACATCACGGTTGGTTCGTTTATTGTATATTGTCTATTTAAAGACATACAAAAAGACCCTGTAATGCGGTCCGTTGCGATTGATGGCGGCCCCTTTTACGAATGTACATCTAGCAGCGTTGATGATGCTGCATTAACCCATAGCTGACTAAAAACATGCTAAAGTGGCTGCGCAAACGGTCGACTCAGTGGAAAACGGGCACTAAGATAAGGTCCAATGTAATGGCCACCGTAAAAACTAAGTGTCACATATGCTTCCAACTCCATCTACGCTGTAGTGCCAGCTAAGAGAAAGAGGGAATCGAAACCAAGAATTATTCAATAAAATGGATGACGAATCAGGTGGCATCCTCAACATCTCACTCTCAGACTCAGAGACGGAGGAGCAGCAGACGCCTGCCAAGCCCTCCGACCGCACTGGTCAGTCAGAGGAAGAGTTTCAGGCTGTCAAGAGAACATATCATGTCAGGATCGAAAATGGCAATGTACGCTCGTTCCCCCTGCATACCTTCCAGTCTTTCTATTCTCCTCCTCTTCTTGAGTTGGACCGTATCCGTCCTTGCATTGACTCTTTTGCGTAGATCTCCGAAGACATCTCAATTCCCTTAGGCCCTAACCCTAACAAAATGCTGGTTCAACAACTCATCCATGCTATTGAGGAGCATTATTTCTTTCGCCGTTATGAGGAAGGCATCAAACTCGTCGAAAAGGTCTTGGGTGGAGAGGATTCTGCAACTCTTGATGAAAGTATAAAAAACCAGTTGCTCTTGTACAAATCGTTTTGCCACAAAAAGCTCGGTTTAATCACCTAAATTTAGAGATTAAAGCCCACATCCCTCGTCGCCGCCAGAGGAGTTTGGCTTCTTCAATTCAGATCCCGAAACAGTGAAACGTAGTAGCTGTAAGCCAGAAAACATTGTCTACAAATGGGAGGTTTGAGGCATTACATCTCTTTACTGCGATTTCCGAAAAACCAATACTATTATTACCCTATCAAAATCAGAACCAATCTACTCTAGAAACCAATTATGGCCATTATCTCATTCATCTTCGTTCGTGCCCACTTCTGCAAAAATTCATTTCCTTCGAACTCTAACTTCTTTGAGAAAACGCAAGATCAAACACAGGTCGGTAACTGTGGCATATGCCGGTAAGAACCTTCCTTTTAGAAGAACTCACCAGGGGATAACAAGACCATCGATACCTATCTACTGGCATACATCGAAGAGCCAAGGCCACGGAGTGGCGGCTTAGTCGCTGTGGCCTGGAGGGGGCTAACCACCGGAGACGAAGCAGGCGGCGCATCTGACGTTTGGGAGGCACTCCGTCCGGCAGACCCATGATTCGCTGCAGTTGCAGCAGCACCCTGCGTCGATACTGTATTTCCTGTCAAAGAGGGCGCTGTCGACCAGAGCTTGCTAACTGTAGACGGATCAGGAGCTTCATGTTTGGCAAAGTAGCTTGGACTTCTTGGCGATGGGCGTGCCTTTGCTGCCCCTTTTTCTGGTAGAAACTTGGCCTTCTTGATATCCTCGGGACAGTCCGTAGCCTTTGGTCTGAGGTGCTCGAGGTCCTGGGGCTTGTAGCAAATCGGCTTGAGAAACTCTTTCATCGATTCTGGAACCTGCTGACTTGTCGAACGATTGGCCGTTTGGAGGGCTTGTTTGATATGATCAAATCTCATATCGATGAACAAATGGAGGTTTGTGAGAAAAGCATCCTTGACCTTGCCGTAGGTCTCCGGTATCTTGTTTTCCCGCCATTTCACATCCAGTGCCTCCTCGATCTCCTCATGAAGCTGCTTCCGTTGGCCTTCCCCTGCTAAAACCATTGTGGAAAACAGAGCCCCGGCTGCCTCCCACAATCCATCAAATGCCTTTTCAGTGACCCTGCGAGCAGTGGAGTTTGAAACTTTCTTCTCCAAAGTGTTTGAGGCAAGAGATTCTGTGATGTTGATAAGGCACGCTGCCTTCTCGCTACCATGCAAAGCTTCCTTCTGCTCGGCTACGCCATTTGGAATCTGCTCTGTTTCTTGATCAGCCTTAGGCAGAGCCTCAGGTTCGTTCTCTGCGTTGTTCATGGGCTGCTCTGGATGGTTTTCCTTGGGTACGTGATCTTGATGATTGTTCTTGGCTTCAACCTCGACTCTGTTGAAATTCGCAGTTGGGAGGACCTTTGGCTTTCCAGTCGAGAGTGCTTTGCCTGTGTCTGATTCTGCAGTGGGGAGAACCTTTGGCTTTCCAGTCGAGAGTGCTTTGCCTGTGTCTGATTTTGCAGTGGGGAGAACCTCCGGTTTTTTAGTCGACAGTGCTTCGCCTGTATCGGGTTCTGCCTTGGGAGAAACTTCTGTCTCTTTAGCCGGTGGTGTTGTTGATTCTGCTTCGGGGATAGCATTTTCTCGAGTGTGCGCCAGCCACTTCTGAGTGTTGTGTACACAAGCGGAAAAGAGCTTCGTGGCCGCCGGGTCCGCAAACTCAAGAAAGTACCTGGCATTTGGGCCACCCTTGGTCGTTAGAATACAGAATTGGCTCTCCGTCTGCGGAGTATCAAGTAGAGATATATCATGCTCTCTCGTACCACCCCTGGCACGAAGATGGAGCCAGGCACTTGGGGGAGAAACCTTGACCTTGATCTCAAACTCGACAGGAAAACGGCTCTCCGGGCCCCCGCTACCAGGATAGTTCATGAAAGTCCCAAAGTAGGCAACGGGGTTGTCCTCTCCATTGAATAAGGGGCCATTTTGAAAGACACAGCTTGTGAGACTAACCTCACCCGGGAGTTTGTCGTTGCTAGCTGTAGGATCTTGGTCGCGATTGATCGAATCATCTCGCTTAGCGCTGGCCTTTTCCACGGGCTGTGGTTTTCCCTCTGGTTCCGGCTTCTTCTGCACCTCCTTGTTGACAGGTGCAAAAGAAATAGTGTTATCTTGCAACGGACGTTTGGGTGCACTAGCTTTACGAGGTTTATCGCTGGTGAAAATTGGTCAGTACTGCTTGATAACCCTCATACGAAAGCTAAGATGTTTCCAAAATCAGTGCTCAAGGGTGAAAATACTCACGGGGCAAGGCCATGGTGGCGCGCCGGAATGCCAGGTGGTGGGTTGTTAGGCCGCCATGGACATTCTGACATTTCCAGACCCTCCATCTGTTCTGTTTCTTCATCTTTGATTACGCAATCTGCGAGAATGAGCCTCGGATCCTGATTAACTCGTATGTGGTGGTATGTGCTTACTTGACCAGGCAGTCGATGCCTCCTTTGCTTTTTTAACGGAGACCTTGTTGTAGTGCGTACGCGACCCGAGGGGATCATAACTTGGGCCTTTACGTTGCTCATTGCTGAGTGGAAGCTCCTCCTGGCGATGGCGTCCCAGATCTGCCTGTGAATGTATTAGCTGACTGTCGGCTTTCACGACATTTTCCACGAACCTAAGACCGCTCACGGTCCTCGGTCTTGTCACTAATCTCCTCAAGCCTCTCCCATGGGTTCGGCTGGTGATTGGGACTCCTCCTCGTCTCCGGTTTCATGTGAAATGGGAAGGAGAGAAATGAAGAATTCTTACCATAAGGCCCATGTAGGTGGCCGCAAGCTTCTTCTTATCTTCAGCCATGGTTATGTCTGTTATCTTAGAGAATAGTTCACTCCAGAGATAACCTAAAGAAAACTTTCGAGCGGCAAGGCTGTTGCGTTGTGCCTGGATGGTACATGGAAAGAACGACCGTAGAGCAGGTCGATGTGAAAACACCAATATGCGAATAACCAGGCAAGGTGGTGAACTACCTCTGGGTACCTCACGATGTGGGAGAAAATGAAGTGCGGGGAGGTTTAACGGGAACGAAACGCCAGCCAGGGTTGAGAATTCCTGGCGGCGGGCAGAGGAGAGGGTTTTTTGTTGCTGGAAGGCAGGTTGGGGAGGTGGTGGAAAGAAAGAAGCCTTGGTTTTGGAGACTGGCTGAGGCAGTGGTAGCACAGTAACTGCTTGGCTTGATCGTACCCCCCGCTAACGCAGTGAGATCTCTTTGAGAACAACTTGACTACCAGAGTAAAAAGGTCAATGCATGGCGCCTCGTTGTGAGCGTACCTGAACCTTGGACGGGCTTGGTGAGGATGGGAAAACAAGGATGTGCAGGTACCTACTTGTGACGAGCTTTGGGCGTGGCCAGGCGCTGTCACTTGCATGCAGGTGTTTTAATGTCTTCCCGTGCGGTCTGTTCGCAGTGCTCTTAGGTACCTTCCCTCTTATCTTAGCTGGTCCGGATCGGTGCTTGACACTTCCGTCAGGCAGGTGTGATGGGCAGCAGGAAATGGAAGCCCGGTTTCTCAGGCAAAAAGTAAACAAGCAGGCAGTCCAATACACGGATGCCCTGAGCACTCGCAGGTTTGTACCAATACTGAGTAGGTAGGTAGACATGCCTTTAGATCTTTGGATCTTGGGGATACTCCCAGTTCTCATACATCCCAAAAATGTATCCTGTAGAAGCCGCCTTCAAGTTGATAGAGCTCAGAGGTATCTAGCCGTGGTGAAACAATGATTCCAAGGTGGATACACAGACGGACGATGTAGGGCAGACCGTTACGGGAATGCCGTTGTTTCCTGCCATACCTTGGCTGAAATAGAGTTCAAGATGCATATGATCCTTGCCTTGTCAGTCCCAAACCAGATTGCATACTCCGTGGAGCAAGATATCCATGCATTATATCACCAAGATAGTAAGCAGGGCAGGAAGCGAACCGATATGCAGTTAGTAAGATACCTCGTACTACAGCGTGCATACATCTGCGCTGAAGTGTTGGGCGAAAAGCTTGCTGTCTTTGTACGACCTGTTATTTCAGGTAGTTCATGCACTGGAGCAGATAAGTGATCAGCAAGCTATACCGTTGGAGGGAAACAACACGAATCTCCAAGTCTGGATGAGCTCGGCAAACACCTGGGATAGCTTCTAAATGGATCGATCGAGCTGCAGATAATCTTTGTAGTTTATGTCTCTGCACCCTCTGCTGCATCTCCCATCCCTGAAATTTATTTAAAGTAAGTCTGAGTCCTGGCAAACTCCATCCCAGCCGCAAAGTGGAACAGCTTCGCCGCAACCACCATCCGCTCCTGCTTGGAGTACTCAACAAGCCGCTCGTACAGCTCCGCTATCGGAACAATCACCCTCTGTATGTGCTCCCCATCCTCCAGCCGCTGCTCGGGCTCCTCGTCCCCCTCGCCCAGCTGCACCTCCACCATGACGAGTTGCATGTTCGCATTCGTCATGCCCGGGTCGGCCGACTGGGCCGGGCTGACGCTCTTGACCACGCAGTCGTAGCCCGTCTCCTCCTTGAACTCGCGCACGGCCGCCTGCTCGGCCGTCTCCTCGGCGTCGATGAGCCCCGCCGGCCACTCGACCGTGTAGGAGTCCAGGGGCGGGCGGTACTGGATGACAAGCAGGGTCGAGGCGGGCCTGGACGGGTGCAGGAGGATGTTGCCCATGGCCACGGCGTCCACGCCGGACTTGCCCCTCGTCTTGCGCTGCGCGACCTCCCAGGATCGCGCCTTGCCGACCTGGTCCACGTAGTCGATCTTCTTGAGGGTCACCCACCTGGCCTCCTCAAGTGGGAGGTCGGAGATCTTGGTGATGACGGGTTCTTGAGTCTTGTGCGACATGATGAAAAAGCAATTTCAACTTCCACAGTGAGTCTTGTGTCAGAGTATGGTCAGCATTCAAGTTCCATACGAGTCACTCATCAAGGCAAGGCAATATCGAGCCAGAAGGCTCAAATGCCGCAGCTTAGGATCAGCAAGGAAAGGCAGGTACACACACCTAAATGGTATCGGATTGCTTTAGTTTGCTATCTTTGGTGAAACCAGAAGGTGGACAATCTAAGGGAAATGTGATCTAACGTGAAAATGAACCTAAAGATGGTTGGTTGGGTAGAGTTAAAGTCTGGGTTATTAAGCACTGAGTGAGGGGCAGCATTCGAAGATCACTCATACCAAAAAACATCACAAAGGGTCATTCTTCAGAGAATTTCTTCCCTCCTTAAAAAAAAGGAAGAAAAAGAAAAGATCTTTGTAATTTTCAGCACCTGGTACAACACTCGCAATTATCCATATCGCGCCAAATGCTTCTCATAATAATGGCATCTCCCAATGCTATCATGAGAGCTCCAGGGTGGGCTTGTGTCGCATAAACGCCATACAAGGTAACTATGTCGCACGTCTCATTCAATGTCTCGATTTTGTCATTTCAGAATATTAATCTAAATTTCATGTGAAAAAGGCCTTTTTTTTGTTCGACTTTTACTCGCTTGGATTCAATCCCTTGACCTGCAGCATCCACTTGACACTCTCAAATACCTCGGTTTCATCACCATCTAAATCTACAGGGAGGACATCTATCTCCCCAACAGCAGGCCGTTCACGCTCGCCTACACTTGATATTTGTTTGTCCAAGTCAAAAAGAGGCTGCAGATCGAAGAAGAGGGTCTTGATGTTTTGCCGTGCAAGCGAATCTCGCAGCTGGAAGCGCCACGGCTGGCTCATAGTTGAGCTGGTAAGCACAACAGAGGGATGGGAAAGCTCCAGAAGAACTTCGGTGATACGGGATGAGAGCCGAGAGAGCCAACCGGTAGTGTCACCAAGTGATAGAGCAACACCCTGGCGCAACTTCTGAATGGCAGGCCGTGTGTGTAGCGACTCGCCCTCAACTAAGGGGACGGAGAGCCACTTTGAAACCTTTTGTCCTATAGCTGCACTTGTGGCTTCATCAATGCCAGATACGAAAACTGCAAACTTGGCATGGGTCGTACTATCGGGGAGAGCCGTCCATGCGTTTTGGAGAAAGTAGTCCGTGAATTTCTTCACAAACCCCTGATCAAGAACAGGTGCGTTTGCCAGAGAGGGAGATAGAGATTGCGCAACATCAGTAGCGAACGGTTTAGACGACGCAAACTCATCCTTGTCATACTTGGAGGCAAAGAAATCGGCAAGCTTGATAGGGGGATTCAGCTTTGGGTCAAGGTTTGATGCACGGAGGCGTCGAACCCACTCCTTTGGCTCGACCTGCTCAAACTCGAGGCCGGCTTCTTCCAACGCAGGTAGCAAGTCTTTGATGAAGTCAAAAGTCTTTGGGTGTGTCACGTTGGCGAAGAGGCTCCCAGCGTCAGACAGGGATATGTCAGTAATGGACTCAGCCGCAGTGTCAACTGGCAACCACGAAGGGGTTTCTTTGAGTTTGGGTAACGAGCCAACAGTCAGTGCCGTTTGAAGCATCATAGGTACCGCCTCCTGTGCATTCCAAACACCATGTTGTGTGTCACCAACAAGCTGTCCGACCCGCAGAACCCTGACTTTCACGCCCTGCTCGACAGCATTGGCACAGATATGCTCAGCAACAGATTTGGATTGACCATATCCCATGCCTTGTGCCCACCCCAGATCGGGGACAGCCTCTGGTACTGGAATTACAGTCGATCTAACGCATGTGCTGATAGACGAGCAAAAATTCATAGAAGGGTTCGTGGGGGAGGCGTGGCACAAGTCAAGCAGATGGCGAACCCCAACGATATTGCTTTTTTCGAAACTTGAAAGCTGCATGTTGAAGTTCACTGACCAAGCGCAGTGAATGACAGCAACCAAGTCCCGCGATATAGAGGTGTAAACGTCTTCTGATAACCCAAGCTTGCTATCAGTTAGATCTGAGGGGAAGGCCACAATCTTGCGCCTTTCTTCTTGTGACAAGGTGTGAAGCAAGCGTCGTTGAATCAATGACTCTACAACTCGTTTTTGAGCTGAAGATGAATTAGCGGCACGAGCGAGACACACAATCTTCCGGATCTTGGGATTAGGAGCAAGCTTGGCCGCTACATGAGCTCCCAGCGAGCCGGTTGCGCCTGTGAGAACCTATAAGCTAGTCAGTATCGAGCTCGGCAATAGGCAGGGAAATCAGCGGTTTTGTGTTCGATCATATATCCGAATGGGTTTGAACATACCACTGTAGAAGCTTGGACGGCCCCTAAATTATTGTATTTGTTGATAAGATCTTGCATTTCTGACTCAACAGAAGACTTTAGATCCGCGGCTTGCCCAATACTAAGACTGTAGAGAAACGAACTCAACTTCTCAACTGAAGGGTAGTCAAACGCGACATTTTGACCAAGTTTACGACCCTCTCCGAGATCAACATTTCTGAGAATGCTGCTTCGCATTTGAATGGCCTGCAGTGAATCAAGACCGAGAAGAAAGAAGTCGGTAGTATCCTCAACTTGATCGGCAGCTGGCAGGCTATCACTCAACAATTTTCGCACAAATGTTCGCATCTCATCAAGATTGAACTTTTGACGATTAGCGGTCTCTGCGTCTTTATCGTCGTAAGCTTCCTCTATCTCTTTCTGAAACGACTTATAAAAGGCCTGGCGGATGATGCTGCCCTTATCCGTGCGAGGGTAAGCACAGTCTGTCGGCAACAGTTTGATCATACTCTTGGAGATATGAGCAAATGAGTCGACAGACTGGTTGGCTGACTTCACCACAGGCCAAATTACATCGAGGATCTCCTCCCGTGACTTTCCAGAGAGGGACGGAGCTGGAACGATCAACGCGCCAAGACACGGCCGGCCAGCTCCAAAGACGACGACCTCAGCAACGTCTCTATTGGAGCGAATCTGGCCCTCCATCGCCACGGGGCCGAACTTTTCGCCATTCACCAGTACCAGAGTGTCATCCAGTCGTGCGATATACTTCCAAGCGCGGGGAATAGTAGGGTGAGGCTGGAAGAGATCCTTGGTTGCATAAGAGCCATCGGGTTGATTCGACTGCACTTTGGCAGGCCACCCTTCAGTAACCACGCACTCGAATAGCCCGGTGCCTCGTGGCACCCACTTCAAGTACGGAGAGAGGCGATCGTGCTCACGGACATAATTCCATGCCTTGTCTCCCTCAGGTCGGAAGGAGGTCATCAGTTGGCCCACCTCAGTTCTAAGATAGCATCTGATTAGCCCCAAAATTCTCTCGTGACACCAGGTAAAAAAGAAAAATAAAACAGTCAAATTTGAGAGAAAGTGACTCGGTGGTAGTTCACTTACGCTCCATAATGACCAATCAAGTTCACATTGTTATCAACAAGAGAGTTGCCTAGCTCGTCAGGGCAGGCTGAGCCGCCATACATGACGACCTTGAGTTTCTGGAGAAGTTGGATACCCTCTTCCGTTTCAGAAAGGAGTTTTAGAGCGTAGGGCACTCCATAAAAAATCTCAAAATCATGCTCCCTCATGATACGAACGAGATAGCCCTGTGTTAGCGGTAGATCCGCGTTGTATAAGTGTATTGACTTAGAAGAGTACACGGCGCGAAACATGTTACAGATTCCATGATTGTGAAACAACGGAAGCGTTATGAAAGCCTTCATGTCCATGCTTATGGCATAGTTGGCTAGGCATGACTTGTGTGTTTGATAAATAGCCTTGGGAAGACCCGTAGAGCCTATGTACGCAATTTGTTAGTTTATATAGATCCCATCTCGAGCCAATGATGTGGGAAGCCCGAAAGAACCACGCACCGCTAGAATGAATGATAAATGCAATATTGTTTGTTTCAATTGCAGGGTCCAAGTGTGAGTCGAACCGCGTGTCTGAGTGAGCCTCGATGGGGTACTCAAACGCACTTCGGCCAACAATATTGAATATATCTGTACCCATCGAATCTCGGACCTTTTCAGCCATATCCTGATGACGAGCATCCGAGAGTAGAACAGAAGATCCGGTACTACTTAACAAGGATTCAATAGCTGGTTGTGGAATCCTAGTTGAGAGCAGGAGGGCAGTGTGACCAAGTTTCGTGAGAGCCAGAATAGTCATCAGATATTCCAAGTTTGAAGGACCCAAAAGCGCAACCACTCTAGGCTTCTCTGAGGAAGATACTCGAACTGGTATGTCCTTCTCGTAGCGTTTAGCTACTCTCCAAGCAAAAACGTCGAGCTGTTGCATAGTGTAGTCGGCAAATTGAATGCCCGTTGAAGGATATGAGACTATATGGGAAGAGGGATTTTGCGCAGCTCGCCGCCGTATCAGCGAATCGACGGTTCGGAGAGGCGAATCATCGTTGTCAACATCAGTGAATATAGCTTGATTTGATGCCGAGGTTTCAATATGCTCAATTTCGATGCCCTCTAGGGAGCTGGCAACGTCAGGAGTAGCCATAGTGGTGATAATTCAAGGCTTAGTTTTTTTGCATTGAAGATTATCTATGTCATAATGCTGGAAGTTGAGCTGGTGAAGAGAAGTCGCACTGGATATGCACGGACGACACTCTTGCTTTTTGGCGTTCATTCGGCTCACCAAGTTCCGAAACAACTCCACGCATCGACAGTCGATCTACCTCTTGGCACCGCGGTCCGCAGCCAAGGAACCCTACATTGCATCTCGACCCAGTTCAGTTCGGGAATGCTGCCTTAAAAATCCGTTGAACCTGGCAGTCAATCGAGCTTACCTCCATGAGATACTGCTCACCGGATTCTTTTCCGCCAACCTAGCGCTGAACGAAGATGAACTCCACTTCTGCCATGCCATAAATATCAATCCAACAGGGAGATTCCTGATCAGGTATTCAAATTCATTGATCGCTGGTGTAGTTACTTGTATCAGGAGATCGGGAAACAATTTGGAGGCTCTACCCGACCCTACGACATGCCGAGCAACTGCCAGTCTCAGATCCAATCTGAGTGGGACATCAAACCGATCATCTAGGGATAATAAAGGTATATCGCTATCATTTCAAATCATTGGGTTGGAAGAGAATACTAGTTGCAGGCAATTATGAAAATGAGATACCCAACAGCGAAGAAAAGGCCAATATCCGAACCCTTTATGTCAACTAGAAGACAGAGAAATGAAAATGATGCTGGAGATGATAGAGCATACAAATATATGCCGTACCATTCTATCATAATATACCAGGCCAACCCATGGCTTCGTCAAGATCAGATTGGGTCCAGAATGCCTTTGGAAATTATGGTTAGTCGGACCTCGTATCTAACGCAGAAATGCGAGGGACTTACAGAAGAATCGAGCTCAAGCCAGTCAGTAGTTTGCCATTCTTCCAGGAGCTGTGGATCCAACGATGGCATGGGCCCCGCTACGTATCCTGTGTTTGCATACTCGAGATTGACCACAGATGCTGCCTTCGGCACGGTAACTTCAGCCACTACCTGTGGTAGGGGGTCTTGAGTCTTGAGTTGCTGGGCACGGTCTGTCTTTTCAGGTTGACGTCTTGCTGTGGCACGAAACTCTTCTAGAATAACAGCATATCGACGGCTGGGGGAGTTTGTTGCAGTTGCCCGGGCCAGATGTGACTGGCACCTCTCGGCCAGCTCTAGCAGCTTTACCCTCTGGTCGCTTCCGGTGATGATTGGCTTCCCGAGTTTTTGTTGTTGGATTTCCCATACATATACAACAATCAATGCGCAAAAAGTAACATAATGTGTCCACCAAAAGGCTTGAAAGTTTGGGCCGTCTTTAGTCATGGAGTCTACAATTTCGAGAACGGATCTCGCCGCGGCTATGCAATCCCCAACAAGCGACTGCTGCATGGAAGAGGGGCTGTCGAGAATAAAGAGACGAGATGCGTGCATAATGGTGTGCGCATTAGCAAGTTTGAGCACAGTTGCCTGGCGGCGATAGGTCGGGATGAGCATAGAAGGGCGAATCGAGCCGAGGTGGAGGGGAAGCGACGCACGCCATTCGTGGACAAGTTGGATGTGATGATGAGCAGCAGATATTCGTTGTTCTTTCGATATCTTCTCGAGTGTATACACTTTTCGAGATATTGCACCACAGATCTGGGAAATCTTTGCATGGAATATTAGGGCATCCATATGGCAATCCTCGGGGTTCTGGGAGGCATCGGTTGGGCCGGCCGCAGTCATGTCCTCGTCATTAATGCGATCGGGGAATTCCTGGTCAATATCCTCATCGTGAAAGTGTCTCGGTCGCCCGAATATTACACCTAACAGGGTGTCGAGGATATAGGCAGTCCAGAATGTACGAATGCTGCACTGAGTATGGATGTAGTCTGCTCGTGGCATTCGCCTCCGCTTCAAGCTCCCTCGGCGGTGTAGTCCAATGGCTGATATGAGCTGGAGTGCATTACCAAATACGTACCAGCATTTATTGAAGCGGGATGTTATAAGCAGATAGAGTGTCTGCACAATCCGTGCCTGGACTGACTCTAGTTTTGGACAGCCTGTCTCTTCGTCCGTCAACCGACTGGCAATCCCGAAAAGGACGTCGCTTTGACTTAGAGCTCGTACTTCATCTTCTTGAGAGAAGAACCCCTTGTGTTTTGCCTCGTGGGACATGGCAATGGCAAGAGCAGCCAGCACAATGGCGGCCCTCGCATTCCCGAGCCCATGACTTACTGGCCGATCCTCTTCAATATTTCGTTCCACAGCCGACAGCCATCCCTCGACCGAGGGCCTATGGAGAATCCTATATGTGGCGATACACACATCAAAATATTGTGCCATCAGCATGCGAGTCTTTTCAGGGCTTGGGAGAACAACAGAAGCCGAAGCAGGGCTTTCGGGGAGGAACCGATCTCCTGCCATTGTCACGGGTTGGTCTTCCGTCAAAGTTTTGAATGAGTCAGTACCAATCTGCTCATCACCGGTAGAGAGCCTTTTCCGGGCGCGATGCAAAAATGTATGGCCGGAAGTGGGATCAAACACCTGCCCCTGAATTTCTGCCATATCCAATTCAGGTGACGCCCGCGAAGACGTGCCGCCCTGCGGCAACCGAGGCCTGCCAATGGAGATATCCATGTCCTCTTGCGCGACTTGCAGCAATGATGTGGGTGCAGTCGCTGGCTGGACGAACACGGCCGGAGGAGGCGTGGGTGGACGGCCACGCGTGTATTTGGCGTTATAGAGGCAAGTCCTGCCCCTGGCTACACATTTGGTGCATGGCTGGTTTCCACTGCACTTGGCCTTTCGAGACTTGCAGAAGTCGCAGGCCCGACTCACTTTTCTGGTTTTGGTGGGGGGAGCGTCCTCGAAATTGTCATTGGAGGCCGAACTGCGACGTCGCACGCCTGGAGAGAGATCTACCGATTCGGCCTTGCTGGGCCGGCAGTGGCCCTGGTCACTGCCGGAAGCAGTGGACGGAACGGATGCCATTCCCGGGGATTGTGGCGGCGCGGATCCCTCGATGTTGGTTGAGTGCTGAGAGACGGAAATTCATTGAAACGAGACGGAAATCAAGAGTCTCAATTCTCGGATTTGAGCTTGGGGAAAGTGCGGGGAAATGTCTGGGAAAAGAATGTCGAGGATGAAGCGAACTTGTGGGGTAGGAGCGACTAAGTCAATCAAATCAACCGAAAGAAGCCAAGCACCACTGAGTGTTGTAATATTGCCGTTGTTGCCGTGTTTTTCTGAGAAATAATGCCTGCCTGCCGTAGCCAATGATGTGAGAGCACTCAAGCCTTTTCCCTCAGCCAAATTGATGCACCGTGATGAATTTGTTAGTTTCTGGTAAACGTGGATTTTAGTGCGCTCAACACTTTTGCAGTACATAACAGCTTGCAATGCCTGTATCTACACTCCAGGTTTTGGTTCACTTTTTTGCTTTGCCTCCTAGGCATTTAAATGCGTTACACCCTACCTCGTGAGCTCACCATACTAATTATCCCTCCCAAGGTTGAGGATAACCTCTTAGCCCGAAGGCTGTGTTCGATCATGCTGCGTGATACAGTCTTTGGGATGAACTCGGCACTGCACTCGAGTAATTCAGTTGCTAGACGTTTACGAGCTTCATCATGGTTGACGACAAGGACAACGTTGGTTTCGGATCGTGCAATTGTTTGGCAATTCTGGCCCAACACCTAGATTTGTGAGCCCCATTTGCGATCCATTACCATTCTTCATTACCCTCCTTCAATTAAGAAACATGATCAACTCCAATCTTTTTACAGCCTGTAGGGGCAATTTTGAACTATACTCTGTATTACAAGCGTTCCTAACAGGCTTCTTTATTCTTATCAGAAGCTTCCTATCAAGTCCTGAAGTCTACCACTGCGATCCCGCCTTCGATGTCTAGGGTAAGAAGGATGATGAGCATTGACACCCACTCGAGGTTGTTTTCTCTTTTCAGATTTTTTGTCGGAAGCCTTTGAAGGGATGAATATTTATTCGATATGGTAAAACTTGGGGTTGGCAAGTTTGATACTGGCGAGCAGTGGGCCAGTAATCCATACCAGCTTCAATTTCTCATCATTCATCTTTCTCCTACCATCTTCATTCCCTTCGGCGGATTAAAATCCGGCTTAATTGTTGTCATACTACCAGTAGAGTGGTTATATAGCCCGGCATTTATAAAGGGCAGAGCTTAATGTGGTGCTCAACCATAAGGAGGTATATCTATTCATTAACATGATGCTACTGGGTAGTAAATCGCGGTAGATTCATTCTGCCATGGTTGGCAAGTCTGGCTCTGGGTGGGAACTGGGGATGGCGATCCCACGCATCCTGTCGATAAGCGAGTGATGAGGTCATGAAGATCATCGTGGATCTACATTGTTCAACGACGGACATGCTTGTGCTACACGTTGTATATTGTCGTGATCGCACGCGGCTTGCGATAGAGGACTTGAGCGGCCCTCAGGAACTGATTCGGACAAGCTGACTTCAAGGCCATTCACAGACGCTGCGGCGTAGCGACAACCCTGAATAGAATAAGGGATGAAAAGGAGGGAGCCAACCTGTCTAATTATAATGTTTACAAGGAATATGCCGAGAATGCCGGCGAACGGTGTTCTGCCAGTGCCGCATTGGAAGTTTTGCGCTAGGATATCAAAAGGCTGCATAACTGACATTCTGTGCATACATTGGATTTATACAGCGATCATTGACTGGGCTACTGAAACAAGGCCCGCCTAATAGCATGTCAGCTGGTAACACGACCGAAGTAGTTAGAGTTATCGAGCATCTAGAGGCCAATAGTATCTCCAAGCCTGAGTTTATTGATACCCGCTATTGTGTGATACTGGACTTCACGCAAGGTATGGCGGCTACCTTCACAGTGATGACACAGCTGTACTTCTCGCCATGAGGAAGGTCAATCTTCGCGGTACAAATTCTCAAGTCGTACGCATAACTAGGGAGTGATGGCGTAGCGTCATGCAGGAGTATGTCAAAGTTGGATGACAAAGACAGCGAAGCCTCGACCTGAAGCTATGATGAACACTCATTGGCTGTGAAGCGGCTCAATTGAAATTGCGACAGAGCAAGTGGAAATGTGGCTGATCCATGCCCTCTGGCCTCCCACAGTGTATCTGGTGGCTTCCTATGTGCGTGGACAAGGTGAATACGAGGCCAGACTTGAATGTTGTATTTTTAATTCCGACCCGACGACGCCAGCTCGTTCGCAGCAAAGGTTAGGCACCTACCGTGTTGGGGATGGAGGCATGAATTGCCAGCCAGACCCCTGATGCCGGGTTGAGTGTCTCTCGTCAGTTCAAAGAAAGAGGAAAGTGCAGAACCAGGCGTGCTTCCTTCGCTGCATGAAAGCACAAATGATCTGAATCTCTTTGCTAGGAGCCGAGAGGATAGGGATGGTGAGCCGAGTATTACGGCATCATTAGTGGCGGACAGGCCGGAAGTGCACTGTTCAGACAAGCCCTTGCTTGCCATGGACGGGGCAGATGGACAGTGTGAGAGAGTGTCACTCTGTCGGATTCCTGTGAGTGGATGAGATGACGAGATGGTGCCTGGATGGTGCCCCATCCTCTCAGGTACAGGAAGCTTGGGGCAGGCCGGCGTTTGGTAGGTGGTAATGTTTTGGCTGATGTACACAGTAGAAACAACATGGATGCTATGGGGCAGTGTCTCCCCCTTCCCCATAAAAAAACAGGTCTGGCGCTGGCTTATGGGCCTGGAAATCCACTGGCGCATTCCCCAATCCAATGTAAACAGACCTGTGCTTGATACGAGATGGGGCGCGAGGATCGACGAGCTGAGGCCGCGGGAACCGAATTGGCTCATCTTGGCCGTGGCAGACCAGGCTGCGAGGCATGGAAGAATCAACAATGGCCGGCATTCTGTACTTGCAGTGCGCGAATACTCGTGCCATGAGTGCTCCTGAAGCTGGAAAGGCACAGAAAAGCCTGCCACTGTCTCAGCCATCAGCCCCATCCTCAGGCACCGGCGTTTCTGGCCTTGGAGATCGGAATCCAACTGGGCCAGCTCTAGACTAAAAATAGTTAGGCCAGGTGCTGTTACGAAGCCAATGTCGGTAGGGACAGCCACAACAAACGCCGGGCCAGCGCACCCATGAATCATGTTCCAAATATACAGCAGGGGCGGCCCACATGGCTACCCCTTGATGTTGCGATGTGCTGTTCTGCACGTGATTCGACACGCGCGCCCCTTATCGGCCTGTACTAAGTTACAGCTTTCTCGGAGCTTGGACTTTTCTCTGCTTCTTCTCCCCATTCTCTTTTGCCCTCTTATACATAGACTTTGCTCTCATTTTAACAAGTCTACTGTCTCATTCTTTTTGGACAGCTACGCTCATTTGCATCAACCCCATCATTCATTCGCCAGATTTTTGATTTCTCTTCAGAACAGTCGCTCTCGCTCAACATGCGTATTTCTTCCACTGTGGCGGCTAGCGCCCTGCTGGCGGTGGCTTCCGCTGCTGATTCCACCAACTACCTTGGTTTCAACTCCGGAGCTACCAAGGCTGACCGATCCGCCAAGTTCAAGGCTGACTTCAAGGCCGAGTTCGATGCTGCCGCCAACCTCAAGGGCGCCCCCGGCGACTTCAATGCCGTCCGTCTCTACACCAACATCCAGGCCTACTCCGACAGCGACCCCATTGAGGCTTTCGATGCTGCCGTTGAGACCAAGACCAAGCTCCTCCTCGGTGTCTGGGCTTCCGGAACCGATAACATCGACAAGGAGCTCAGCGCCCTGAAGAAGGGTATTGAGAAGCATGGCAGCAAGCTGACTGACCTTGTCATCGGTATCACCATCGGTAGCGAGGATCTCTACCGTATCTCCGAGACCGGTATCAAGAACAAGTCTGGTGTCGGGAACTCCCCCAAGGCCATTGTCGGCTTCATCGAGAACTTCCGCAGCTCCTTCAAGAGCACCGCTCTTGCCAAGGTCCCCGTTGGCCACGCCGACACCTGGGATGCCTGGGGTAACTCCACCAACAAGGCTGTCATCGACAACGTCGACTTCATTGCCGTCCACGAGTACCCCTACTACGAGACTGGCAAGGGCAACAGCATCGACAACGCTGCCAAGCTGTTCCAGACTGCCTACGACAACACCCTGGCTGCTGCTGGTTCTAAGCCTGTCTGGGTCACTGAGACTGGTTGGCCCTACACCGGTCCCGACTGGGACGAGGCCAAGTCTGGCACCGATAACGCCAAGAAGTACTGGCAGGAGGTTGGTTGCAAGAAGCTCTTCAACAAGGTCCCCACCTTCTGGTACACTCTCCGTGATTCCAACCCCGACAACGAGGTCAAGTTCGCCATTACCGACAACCTGAGCACCACTCCTCGCTTCGACCTCAGCTGCGACGGCATCAAGGAGGACGACAAGTCTAGCTCCACCAGCAAGAGCGGTTCTTCCTCCGCTACCAAGACCGGCTCGTCCACTGCCTCCAAGACCCCCGGCGGTGACGACTCCGACTCCACGACTCTTGCTACTGCCACCCCCACGCCTTCCTCAGGCAACAGCAACGGTGGCAGTGGCACCACCACCACCGGTGCCTCTGCCAGCCAGACTTCCGGCCCCGCTTCGTCCGCCCCTGGCCAGAAGATCTTCAACGCCTACACCTACGCTGCTCTCGCCGTCGTCGGAGCCGCCTTTGCCATGTTCTAAGCGGATGTAACGACACATAAAGCGTCTGTATATGCCATTGTGATTTTATTGGGAGCTCGTATGTTGCTTGTCCCGTTGGGGATTCTTGGGAAGAATTATCTGTTTCGCATAGTCTGGGCTCAGGATACACCGTGTTTTTGGGGGAATATAGATTTAATTTTCGCGCTAGGCGCATCAAACTATAAATCGGATCTTATACCATTTCCTGTGCAGACGCATGCTTAGTTGATATTGAACCACGTGGGATCCATGACAACTTCGAAGACACTAGCGATGAACATTCCATTACCTACTTATCTCCCAAGTCCTCAGCTTTGCCTAGAATCATGCGACTGGCAGAAGACGCGGCTCCCATACGCCGGCCCACTGACGCTAAGGTGGATGAGCAGCCCTAGCGGACGGGTGAGACATTCGAGGCCCCATACGGGGAGGGGCTTTGGGGACTTTGGTGGAATTTGGTGGCTTTCGGGGGGAAACTCTTCTCCAAATTCATCCTACGAGGGCACTGAGTTTGCCATTAATAGGCCGCCGTAGGGCCCAGACTCCACTGCACCGCCCCGAAAATAGCGTCCGATGCTCTGGCGCACAACATTGGAGGGTGATGTGCAGTCTGACGCGCGGACCATTTAGACCGTTACTAAACGTGAACTCTTATACAATGGCCCGTCACCCTCTTTCTTGCACATAGGTATCTATAATTTGGCATTTGCAGTCCTTACCGCCGATCTTGTCTTTTTTCCTAATCCGGGCGGGCAGTGTCGTTTCATTCCGCCTCAGGCAAGACCCGTCATCGCCTCCAGCGGGGAAACAGACAGCGTGCAGTTCATAAGGCGTAGGACTGCCGGTCGCCTCATCATTCCGCGTTCGTCCATATGCTCACAACCTCGTCCACCTAAAAGACCTTTGGGCATCATGGCCGACACAGAAGAGCCCCAGTTCCATTCTCTCAAAGATAGGATAGCAGCGCTGAACAAGCAGCAAACCTTCAAGCCCGCTGAGCCTGTCCGCAAGCCTTCAGCCCCAGCGGTCCCCGGGCGGCCTTCGCCCAAGCCCTCGAATGGCTCATCGCCCGTTCCCCCTCCCAGGCCCGTGAGGTCTACCACGGCGCCACCTCCGTTGCCGCGCCGGGACACTGGGACGAGCCAGGATGCCGCTCCCCAAGAGGCACGCAAAGGGCCGCCGCCGCTGCCTCGCCGTGACACTGAGACGAGCCAGGCGTCCCAGGGCACGCCGGTCCTGCCCAGCCGTCCGGCCATGTCCTCTAGGAAATCAACGCAGCATCTGAAGGAGCGCCGTGACTCGACCTCTTCCGAAATGTCAATCAGGTCGACTGGATCAACCGTGTCACAGGCACGGACAGTTTCGTCAGTGACAAGCCATGGGTCTGTGGGCCACAGACTGCCTCCTCCGTTGAACGACACAAAGCTGCCACCGTTGCCGCCTTCGAGACGAGAACTCGAGGCACAGGCCCAGGCAGCGCAGGCGGCTAAACCTAGATCTGTCGCACCCACGACGGTTCCCAAGGTGCCCACCGCCCAGCGCGTTGGCGGCGTGGCTACTGCAGCGAGCCCTACGCCTGCCAAGCCTTCATTACCTCCCAGGCTGCCATCCAGGCCTGCGAAATCACCTGGTATAGTTGAAGAGGCGGAAGCCGCTGAAGAGGTGCGGCCAGCACAGCGCCCGCACGTGGCGCTCAGGTCGAACACCTTTATGGGTTTTGGAGACTCGGCTGGGAAGCAGCCGCCAAAGAAGAATAATGGCCCTATCACCGGGTTTTCGAGCGGCAAGAGAGGGGCTCTGCCGTCCCCGGGCGAACGAGGGGCTCGGGATCTCGAATCACCCCCCATTCCGCAAAGGCCTAGAGCGGATGAGCCGCCTCCAGTTCCCGTTGCTTCTCGCCCCTCGCTGGCCCAGATCGAGGCTGTGAAGACCCGTGGCACGGCCACCACCAGTAGCGTAACAGCGAACTGCTTCCGCTGCCGAGACTGGAGCAGGCCCGATCAGATCGCCTCCTGTTTTCCCATCTCCACACTTCCTAGGAAAGATCCTGTTGGATATCTTGCTCGAAGCCTGTGTGAGCCGTTTCCCTCCTATACTGACAAGGCCCGTGCCATTTTCACCTGGTTTCATCACAATATTGCGTATGATACTGCCGCATTCTTCGGGAACAAGTTGAAGAAAAGATCGCCTGAGGACACCATCTTCAGCGGCCTGGCCGTGTGCGAGGGCTACGCAGTAGTCTACGCCGCGATCGCAAAGAAAGCAGGTCTGCAGTGCGAGGTCGTGACGGGACATGGCAAGGGATTCGGCTATACACCCCTCAAACCTGGGGAGCGCCCGCCGCCCGCCAAGCCGGACGGGCACGCCTGGAATGCCGTCAGGATCGATGGCGGCAGTTGGAAGCTCCTCGATGCCTGCTGGGGAGCTGGACACGTCGATGGCGCTACCCAGTCATACATAAAACAGTTCCACGCCTGCCACTTTGAGAGGACCAACGATGTGTTTGCGGAGACGCATTTCCCCAAGGAGTCCAAGCATCAGTATCGAGATGATGGGCGTGTGCAGGGCTGGGAGGAGTATTACATCGGACCCTTTGGGGGCAACGGACCGACCTTTTTCAGCGCCGATATGGATCTGGACCAGAGGACCATCACGCCGAGCCAGAAGGGCATCCCAGTTCATAGCGGCGAGCTTCTGAGGTTCCAGTTCTCCAGGATATGCGAGCACGCAAAGGATCGGAAGGATAAGTCTGTCGTGTACATTCTATGCGTCCGCGATGATTTGGTGCCGTTTGAGACGGACGGGTACTGGTACTGGCTTGATGTGCACGCAAAGGATCTTGGTGACCCTGGGCAGACGCTCCGGCTGGCATTCATCACTAGCATGGAGGGGAAGGAGGTTCAGGGTCTCACGAGGGAGGAATTCCTCGAGAAGAAGGGCAAGGTTGAGCTCGCGTACGGGTTTGCAGGCCAGTGGGACTTGGTGTAGACGAAGTTGTATAATGTTTCTTGTTTGGTAGGTAGTCCACGGCGATGGACAATGGGTAATGAATGAATGGGAGTTCTTTGGTATATATACGAATATGTGCCCTGCATGTTGTCTATATGAAAAACTAATCTTACTGATATACTGCGGTTCTTTTGTTCTCAGATGTCTACATGGTTTCGTCTTTTCTCCTTAGTACCTTGAGATGACCACATCTGTGTAACGGTGGGCGGTAACGGAGTGGCTTGTGTTGGACTGCCGTCGGGCGGAATCTCTACAATGAATGGCGTTTGCCTTTTCGCCTATTTTGCACCTCTTGGATTGGCATGAGTCAATGCCACGGCTTTTCTGGACGGCCGTCCGACGCGAGCATGGCGATGCGATTGGGAGGGTGGCATTGGAGGGGCGGCGGAATGAGATCATGGGGGGAACGTGACCTCGGAAACTAAGATGCGAGGCCGAATCCTATTTGCAACAGTAGCATTCTAGAAGCCGGTCCTGGTGAGCCGGGTGCTTGCATCTGCAGGTAGGTCTGGGGTGGGCACTTTGTTTTTGCGCTACTACGCAAAAGCCGCCGAGATTGGACTCTGACAGGATGGAGCCTATCGAAGGCGGTTGTCGCAGCAAATAATGGACGAGACGGGCTATGATTGGCATTGTTGCGGTGGTAGTCGACCGTGCTACGACGAACACCAGTGCTCAGACACGACTCTGTTATCAGAGGTTGGGCGCGCGTCCCGCCGGTGTGCCACGTTCTATGCCACCCAACCTGGTGCATCCATGCCTACCTATGGCATCATGTCATGCCTGGCACGACTCGAGACTGCTAAGGTATGGCTACATATACGCCGTAGTATCCATCAATCATCGGGTCCGTCGTGAGTCATTGCACACTGGCGTCCTTGAGATGGGACAATCAGGAGCAGGCAATCTGGCCCGGGAGGTTCACCCTGTCCTGCTCCGGCGTCTCGCATTGTTGCGGTGCTGTTGAGGCCGCCGACCGGCGGCCTCTTGTCAGCCATGTATCGCTACTTTGCAGGCGGGTTCAGGGACTCGGGCGGCCGTTGTGCATACAAATGTCTCTTTTCTCACTGCCCCAGCAGCACTGGAGGTGTGGTTCGCCCTCCGCAGGCACTAAGCTGCCTAAGACATGGGGTAGTATCCATGATTTATGGTTTCTATCAGAGACCCTGCAGGCGCCCCTCTCCCCCTCTCTGCCTCCATACAATTTACCTAGGCGTGTAGTATGCGCTCGCTGTGGTGGTGCTGCAGCCTGGGCCCTTGTAGAGGCAGGCTGACAGGCGGGAAATCCTCGTCGCCAACGGCCGTTGCGCCAAGTCGCAATACCTGTTTCCTGGCTGCGGCTTGGATGCATGCTGCTCTGGTTTATGTACCTACTGTATCTGGGTGCTATCTCTCTATTGTTTTTTTTTGTGGGCGGGTGAAAAGAAAGTCCCAAGTTTCATCTCTTCTCCTCTTTGCTTCAATCGTCTCCTCTGCGCATCTTGAACTCGAATCTAGCATCTGCATTGTCACCGCCCTCTTCTCGCATCACGCCCATCGTCATCTGCTTCCTTGGCTAGTGCGCCCCGGCCTTGGGTGTGGGTGCGCGAGTCTGTCCGAGTGTGTGTGCTGCGGAGTTCGTTCTCTCATGCCAAGAGACCCAAGACTCCAATACCTCTCAAAACGCGCGTTGTGAGTGATATAATAAGTTATATGCCGGGAGCTCTCCCCCTCCGCACCGTTCGCTCCACATATCCTTTTCCTTTCCCCAAGCGAAATTGGCTGCTGTTTTTGAGGGGAAACGGCCGAAGACACTGGCTGGCTGATCCGATCACCACTGCGCTTTGCTCTCGATTGATCTCGCTCCCTAGTGTTTTCCCTTGATATTCTCATGGCTTCGCCCAGCAGCCAGGCCACAACCACACCCCAGAAACAGCAGGACCCTTCTCTTGTCGATCTCACGGCAAGCGTCGGCAATGGCGGCGAGCGGCCCATGCCCGCCGACGACTCTCAGGCGTGGGAGCGTGTCGACCAGGAGAAAGCCCGCCGTGTGGCTGTTGCAGACTTGAATCGCAAGAACAAACAGGTCGGTAGAGACTACAAGATTAGCGATTGATACTTTGCAGTACCTGCCTGCCGTCTCCCTGTACGGCTAGCGGTTGGTACTGTTGAGTACTTTCGGCTAACACCCCAGATATCCCCAAATTCCATCCTCACTTCACCACTCACTCATTAAGATGTTTTGCCTCCCGTTCTCCATCCACCTCTTCTTTTATTTACCTTCCTTTCCCAGTCTCTTATTCCATCCCTGATCTCGTCAAACACCATCTTCTGCACGCAGCTAACATCCATTACGCCCTTCTATAGACTTACCGAGGTCTCTCCCTCCTATGGCTGGTGTTCCAGAGCGTCGGCGTCGTCTATGGCGACATTGGCACAAGCCCGCTCTACGTCTACAGCTCAACATTCTCAGCACACCCGAGCAGAGATGATGTTATCGGCGCGCTCTCCATTATCATCTGGTCTCTTACCCTCATAGTCAGTATCAAGTACTGCCTCATTGTCTTGTTCGCCGACGACGATGGCCACGGCGGCACCTTTGCCATGTACTCGCTCCTGGCACGCCATGCCAACATCCTGCGCCGGGATCCCAACTCATCATCCTTGCTTCGCCTGGAGAGGCACCACACCCGGGAGATGCCCAGCGTGGGGAGGACAGCCCGGAATTTCCTCGAGCGGTCCAACATTGCCAAAATCGCGCTCAAGATCATCGCCATTGTCGGCGTGTCCTTGGTCATAGCTGACGGTATCCTCATGCCTGCTCAATCTGTCTTGGGCGCCATCCAGGGAGTGCGTGTTGTACGACCTGACTTCACGACGAGCGCCATCGTGGGAATTTCGTGCGCCATCATCGTCCTTCTTTTCCTGATCCAGTGGTTCGGAACAGCTAAGCTGGGGTCCTGCTTCGCTCCCATTGTCATCATCTGGCTGCTGTTCAACCTCTCCACCGGAATCTACAATTTGGTCCAGTACGATCATGGCGTTGCCAAGGCCTTTAGCCCGTATTTCGCATTTGCATATCTGGCTCGCAATGGGGAGGAGGGGTGGAAGTCACTGGGAGGCACCCTGCTCGCATTCACCGGTTCCGAGGCCTTATTTGCGGATATTGGTGCCTTTGGCAGGACAGCAACCCAGATATCGTGGTTTGGTCTGGCGTACCCGTGCTTGCTGATAACCTACCTCGGCCAGGCTGCTGTCCTTGCCGCTGATGATGCGAATGGCATAGCCTACACGAACCCCTTTTTCTACTCGGTGCCCCCGGGGACCTTTTACTTCAGCTTGGTCATTGCAATCCTGACCGCCATAGTTGCGAGCCAGGCCTTGATCACGAGTTCCTTCCAGCTGATATCCCAGCTCATGAGGCTCAGCTACTTCCCCCACATCAAGATGGTCCATACCAGCCACAAATTCCACTACCAGATCTACATCCCTTTTGCGAATTTTCTCCTGCTGATTGGTACCATCATTGTCACCGCGGTTTACAATAACGTATGCCTCGCTCTCCTACCATCTGTCATACCCTGTATGTCTGCGTGTACTGACTGTTTTTCTTCTAGACTACGAGCCTGGGTCATGCGTACGGCGTTTGTGTGATCATCGTCTCTTTCATCACCACATGCATGGCCGCTTTGGTCGCATTGATCATCTGGCGCATTCCATCTTACGTCGTGATTCCCGTCTTCCTCATCTTCATTGCCCTGGACGGCGCGTACTTAACAGCAGCCTTGCAGAAGGTGGCCGCAGGAGGATGGTTTACCCTCGTCCTGGCGTTCCTCCTCTCGCTGATATTCGCCCTGTGGAGATGGGGCAAGGAGAAACAATGGGCGGCCGAAGCGATGGACCGGATCATCCCGGCAGAGATCCTCGATCTATCGGCGCATGGGACAGCCCGCCAGAGCCAGTCGTCATCAACACGCGGAAAGATCAAGTTCTCGACATCGTTTGGAGGCGGTGAGCTGTTCCAGACTCCCGGGATTGGCATCTTCTTCGACAAAGTCGGCACAGTTGGCGACAAGGTTCCCCGGGTCTTTACGCAATATCTGAGGAGGTTCAAGTCCCGACCCCAAGTTGTTGTCCTGTTCCACCTGCGGCCCCTGACGCAGCCCGTGGTTCCGGACGAGGAGAAATTCATCATCACTCGATTCAATTCGCAAATGTCGTCGTGCTACCGCGTAACCCTGCGGCACGGTTATGCCGAGGACATGCTGACCTCGGAGCTGAAACCCAGAATCGTGATGGAGCTGATCCTGTTCCTGACGAGGGGCGCGCCCGACACCTCGCCGGCGGACGTGGCCCCGAGTGTGCAGAAGGAGCTGCAGACACTGAACCAGGCGCAGGGCGCGCAGGTGCTGTATGTCATGGGCAAGGAGATGATGCAGATTAGAAAAAGCAGCAAGCGGAATCCTTTGAGGTGGGCTGCGCTGGAGGTTTTCCTTTGGATTCGGGAGAATTCGAGACGGAAACTCTCTGACATGAACATCGATCACGACAGTCTGATCGAGGTAGGGTTTGTGAAGGATATATAGTTCCTTTTTGGGTCAAGCACTGGGTTTCCTCTGACACGAGTCCTCGGATGGTGTCTATAATAAAAGTGTTTACGAGATGATGATGGCTGCGGCCGCTATGCCATAGAAGCATGCCTACAATAGAGACAAAGAATGACATACATACATACACTCATAAAACGACATGTCGTCGAGGAAGGGTTCAAATAGCCTGTGATTCACTTATGCACATGGGCGCCACGTTCCAGGATCATTCCAGTGCATTACGTAGGGGCGTCGCGTCTTATCGGCCGGGCCATCTCCCCCCGAACTGCCACGTGCACGATAACGAGTCTCAACGGCAGCTATCGGCTTTCTCACTAAAATCAAATCTGTTCTCAGATTCGCGTCACCTTCCACATTGCCTCTCTGCAAGCTCCACAGCCATGTTTGATCGCACACTGATGTCAGCTCACCCCCAACCCCGACCTCTGTGCGCCCGTGCAACCTCCCCTCGGCCCTCCAAACACTCGCATTGAGCTCCATGATGCTTCGATTGGACCTCGCAACTCTCATCCTCGCCTCACCCACCAGGCGCTAGCCTGACCGCCGACGTCATTCGTTTTCCTGCGCAACCCTCCTCCCCGAAACCAAAAACTCCGCCCTGTCCCTCGAGAAGAAAGAAGCCTCCCCCGAGAGAAACAAAGAGATTGCCCTTCGAGCTTCGGAGCTACTCGCTTTCGCCATGACGGGTGCCCTCTCCACGTCGCTCACGCGCAATGAGGTGCTCACCCTCCTCACCCTCTCCGGGGCGTCCCTCGCCGTCATCGCCAACACGTTCGGCGAGCCCCTCCTCGCCTCGCTCGCCCTCTCCGTCATGGCCTTCTCCCTCTGCTACGCCATGATCCGCTGGCTCGGCCCGACCTTTGTCAAGGCGGGCTTCAGCGGCGCCGACATGAGCAAGGCGTCGCGGCCGATCCTCCCCGAGTGCATGGGCGCCGTCTGCGCCTGCGTGTACCTCCTGACCGTCATCATCTTCATTCCCTTCCCATTTTATAAGGATATTGTGGCGGCGACGAGCGGTGGCGGCAACAGAGATGTTGTCCTGCACATTGAGCATGTGAACCAGGGCCGGTTCCTGCACAAGTTCCCCCATAACAAGGTAAGGGAGTGCACCTGAACCAACCCTCATGCGCCAAGGGATAGGAATATTCGAGATGCTGTATATAGCTATTTCCTTCTCTCCTGCTGACATCAGACACATAGCTTGCTTCGTACCTGGGAGCCATCATCTCCCTCCAGACCATTGCGCTCCTCGGCATTGGCGATGACCTCTTCGACATTCGCTGGCGACACAAGTGGTGGATCCCCGGCCTTGCCTCCGTCCCCATCCTGGTTGTCTACTTTGTCGACTTCGACGTCACGTCCATTGTGATCCCCGTGCAGCTGCAACCGTATCTCGGCGAGCTCTTCGACCTCGGCGCGCTCTACTACGTCTACATGGCCTGCGTCGCCATGTTCTGCCCCCAGAGCATCAACATGCTGGCGGGCATCAACGGCATCGAGGTCTCCCAGTGCATCGTCATCGCCCTCCTCCTCGCCTTCAACGACTGCCTCTACCTCTTCACCCCGTACCCCCACCCGGCCACCGACTCCCACCTCTTCTCCCTCTACTTCCTCCTCCCCTGGATCGGCGTCTCCTTCGCCCTCGTCGCCTACAACTGGTACCCCGCCAGGGTCTTCGTCGGCGACACCTACTGCTACTTCTCGGGCATGGTCTTCGCCGTCGTCGGCATCCTGGGCCACTTCTCCAAGACCCTCGGCCTCCTCCTCGCGCCCCAGATCTTCAACTTCCTCTACTCGTGCCCCCAGGTCTTCGGCCTCATCCCCTGCCCCCGCCACCGCCTGCCCCGTTTCAACGCCCGCACGGGACTCATGGAGCCCTCCGTCACCCCCTGGCCGGAAGATCGCCAGCCCCACCCCCTCCTCGCCCGCGCCCTGCGCATCCTCGCCGGCCTCTGCCTCCTGAAGCTGACTGTAGACAAGGACGGCCGCATCACCGAGTCGAGCAACCTGACCATCCTGAACCTCTGGCTCGTCTGGCGCGGGCCCCTCCGCGAGGACCGACTCGCCTGGGAGGTTACGCTCCTCCAGCTCGTCGTCGGCCTCTTCGGCCTTTTCGTGCGCCACAAGCTCGCCCTCCTCGTCTTTAAGGAAGACAACTGGGGCACCACGCAGCACTAATTGGACTGTCTGTCTTGCATGTCAAGTCGGGTTCCTAAACGATACCCAAAGTAGAACACGGAAAGGGGCTGGACGGCTTGGGACGCTCGAAGCCCCTTTCTTTAGATAGTAATCGAGAAGCCTATAAATGTCGAATGAAAAAGTTGATTCTCCTCCACGAGTAGAAACACATCAAGTTAGTTGCCTGAGAGTTGGGTCAATGGGTTCCCCTTAAACCACGAGGCACAATGCAGTGAGAATGGGAGGGGATCTGATAACGATTTGAAACTCCCGTACCACACGGCAGGTGTTATTGACATTGAGCCTATCATAGCAAGATACAAGTACATGAGGCCATATCAGACAAAGTGAAGAAACAAACGCCCCATCCAGGCCCATCTTTTCGACGTTGCCCATTGATCTCATCTTCAAACAAGCCATTATCGCGATCCAAAAGCAGCGGCCCCAGAAACAGATTTACGGAGAAACATTTGCTGGAAAAAACAAATCCCATTGCCAGGTCATTCCATATTAACACTGCCCGACCAGCGCCGACCGCTTTCCCCCCTCTTTCGTAAAACGCCAAAGTACCCAGTCAGTAATTTCCGTGTCCGACGTGCCAGTCGTTTTCATCCCTCTTTTGTCAACTCCATCACGAAGAGAATCGACATCTGCCCAATTCATAGCATGTCGTGGGCTAGTTTAGAACCGCAAAACAAAAGAAATTCTCCTTTAATAATAAGCGTACACACATTCGAAACAGCAATTATAAGTGACCGTTTGTCGCCTCTTTAGCTAGAGGGCTGGGCTCTTCATCAGCCTGGATTAGCTGAGCATCAATGCTCGCCATCTTGCCCTCTTCTGGGCTCGGTAGCGTTGGTTTGACTATTGTGGGGCCATTGGGCGCTTTGCCAGCTGCCTTTGATCTCTTGGTGTAATCACTCAGACTCAGCTTCTTTTTGGCTGGTGATGGTAGTACAGCTACCCCATTGATCCCGGGCGGGCCGAATGGGGTGGACAGGCTGATTGCGGACAGCGGAGACTGGGCGATTGAACTTGTCGCTGACAGAGGCGTCGTATTCTGGCCGGGTCCCGTGCCACCGTGGCTGTCAAATGCGGGAACCGGTGGCATCTGAACTCGCAATTCTGGCGTCTTTGCCTTTATGGGGACAATTGGCAGCACCTTTGGAGGGGTCGAAGTCGTTGACGTGTCGATCATGAGAACATCTTTAGCACGGGGCATCAATGGAGAGACAGTTTCGTCATGGGATCCAGTCGTTGGGCTTTTTGTTGATTTAGGCGATTCGATATCCATTACAGATGCGGACGACGCTCGAGGAGTAAGAAGGTGCTTTCTTGTTTGATCATCGTCACACTGTATCCTCTGTTTGCAATTCAGAAGTCGCCGAGCGAGTGGGATGATCTTCTTCTTCGGTCGAGGCGACGTTTTCGAATCGCTGTACCATTCACCCGGAACAGGATCTGTCTGGACACCAACATTGCAGTACGTTGGCCGCAGGCCTGCTGACGAAGGCCGGGATCGGTTCACCGAAGGTGGTCGGTTTGTAACGGAGTTTCTCGATGAATTTGGGAAATGAGGTGAGTGAGCGGTTATCGGCGATCCCGACTTGCTTCTGCATGTGCCGGCGTCAACGTAGCTCCCATGAGATGTTGATCCAGCTCGTTTCGTTTTGGAGGAATTTGATACTGTTGTTCCATCTGAAGTCCGCTTCTTTTTTCGAGGCGGTTGTTGTTGTTCCATCCTCCGGAAAGAATCTTCAACCATGGCCACTTTTCGTTTATCACGATCTGTGGGCTCAGTGAGAATACCAAGTTGGTCAAATGACCCTTGCCGAAGGGGGGTAGGATCCCTGCTTGGTGGTTTACTGCGTGAGGATCCGGATTGAGATCGGCCGTCTTGGTCAAGGCCGTTGTCGGGCTGGCCTTCGCTGGCGGCACGGCTGTTGGTCGCATGCCCTGTACTGCTAGGTGACATGGCCTGGGCTCGAGGCTTGCGTTGTTTCTTTTTCGTTGACGAGCGGGACGAATTCTTGACGTGCAAGTAATGTCGGTGAAAGCGAGCAAAGGCGCAGTCGTTGTCCAGATCACAGGCACAACCGCCGTATTCAGAAAGGATACGATCGATCCAGTTGGATATCGCTGTGTATTCCGTATGGTCCATTTCGGGCTCCTCGTTGCTGGTGCTGTCTTCGTCACTTAAACCAAGTAGGTGCAGCCATCGAGGCCCAACGCTTTTCTCAAGTCGAAAGTCCCAGGGCAAAGTGATCTGTTCATTCGGAGCAATATGACGATCACTGACAAGCCAAAAGTGATATTCCGAACCACTGGATAGGTAGGTGTCCAGTTGTGCATTCGGTTTGCAGCTTCGTCGTACATAACGAGCGAGCGATCCTTCCTTTCTCGTATCGATGTAAAGCGGGAGCAGAGGATGGAAGAAAACAAATGGTAGGGGTGATGAGAGATCCATCCAAAGATTGTCAGGTTCGATGCAGTAGTCCTTTTGAAATCCGATCTCCCCATTCAGCTCAGCAAGGAGAACATCCTTCTCTATCGGTGTTGTAGATTTGAGGAAACGCCATCTTAGGGTAGTGTCTGCGTTAATAGCACGGGTCGCGTCTTCTACCTCAAGCGTTGGTCTTTTGGCCTCCTCATCCGATGGTTCCTCTTGGAATACTTCTTGATGGGTTCGGCCAACTTCCTGCTTAAGGATGTCGGGCTCGTGCAACCAGCGTGCGAGGGCAGTAGGAATTGCAAGGTTTACAAATTTATTGCTGTGCGATTCGGGGACGTTGTGCTCATTGTAGAGAGAATAGAAGCCTTCGGAGTAATGATGTATTTGAAAGTCGTCGGGAAGGTCGGGAGGGGTTGTGGCAGGGCTTGGAGGGTGGACAAGCGTGGGTCGCGAATTTCCATATGAGGGGCTTCGCTTCGCCTGTTGTGAACTGATGGATTGAGAGGATTTATGAGACGTTTTTGCCTTCTTCGCGGTGGGTGGGTGTTCGCCTGCCGTGTTCATCTTTGCGTGTTCAGAAGGGACAGTGTGTCCATTAACCTGTGCTTCATTTGGCTTCGATCGCTTCTTGTGGCTCTTGGACGGCGGGCGCTTGGTCTTTTTTTCGGATGGTCCTTCTAGAGTTGGATTTCGAAGTTGTAAAATTCGCTCGATAGCTCTTTGTGTGTCGAGCTGCCGCGGTTTGCAGTCGGCGCACGAGTGTGCAAAATCTTCGCGTGACACCTCTTCCCTGTTGTCGGGATAGAAGCAATCAATATGTTGCCATGTTTCGCATGTCTCGCAGAATATCGTGCTCCCGTCATCGTCGGCGAAGTTGCAAATACACTTGATCGTGTACGGCTCTTCTTCCACAACTTCTCCCTTGTCAGTCGCATGTTCCAAGGGCGCGGCTGCGACGATGGTCGACGCAGTTTGACTGGGATCGGGATATTGCGCGGACAGCGACGCTGGCCGGTCTGTCATAATCTGTTGGGACGCCACCACGTCTTGGACGTCGTACGGTTGGTGTGGATTGTTTATCGACGCGGTATGGAGGGCATGACGACGCCTACGGAGATGCGCGCCAGTGAGATCGCAGACAAGTGTAGCGGACGAGAGTACACACTGGAAGCGTCATGCGTCGTAGCGGACGGTACTCTCGGATGAATACTCGTTGAGTCGCGATCATACACAGCCAAGGGGGGAGGCGGGGGCCAAGTGGCAGCAGTCAGATCGCGGCTTCGAGTATTTGGGGCGGACAGCGAGGATGATGGTAGGATTGACTCGAGGGTAAGGGCCGTGGGCGATTGCAAAATCCAAATCCTCGAGGGTCGACGCGTGTATTTAGTGGTGGAGGGTCGTTGTCGGGCAATCCGTGTATTCGCAAAAATCGCTGATCTGTCGGGACGGTTCAGTCGAGGATGGAGGGACCGGGTCGCCGTTGGGAGGAGCAAAAGGAAGGGCGAAAAAGTTTCGGTGCAACAAGGAAACAAAAGAAACAGACTGTTAGGACACCAGGGTAAGAATAGGCATAAATGAGGGAGACACCCGTAGGAGCAGACGAGAAGGAAGATTGGGAATGGGGAAAGAGGAGAGGAGGGATGGGGAAGAGCGAGCGACAAAGAAAGCTGTGAGCGAGCGAGAGCAGACCTGGGCTGGGCCACTGGCAGGGTGCATTGCAGCGACTCCCAGCGACTGTCAATGAGAGCAATGGGGCTGCAGCGCGCTGGACGCAGACAGGCTGCAGACGAGGACGGCAAGGTACGTACCTGTCCTCGATGGGTGAGTCTCATCTCACGGCAGGACATTGGCGCTAAGCCCAAAACTGAATGGCGGTGGCCGTGAAAATCTTAGCGCAACAGAGGGAAAAAACTTACTCGTTCAGCGCGGATGCCTCAGGCACAAACGAGCAGACTGCAGTGAGGCTGCATCATCAACGCCATACGAGCGGCGATGGCTGCCACCGGGTTGGAAGGCGGCTGGGAATGGCTGGGACGCTTGGTAGGCCATCTTCGTTAAGGTGCTGAGTGAGAATAACGAGTCCAGTCGGCTGGCTGCTGCCGATGAAGCGGCGACGAGGGAAGCATAGGTGTCCGGTGCAAGTTCGAAGCTTGGTTGCCAGAGTGCGGGCGGTCACCGAAGATCTTGCGGAGGCATTGCATGCTGACAGGCAATGAATTGGTGTTTGTCAAGTCGGCTCAACTGGGTGATAACTGATAAGCCAAGGCAGACATCCCGGTTCAACAAGCACCGAATACGGCGCGGATGCTGTCAGATGGAACTAGGGGGCGGTTAATAAAAACAAACTGCGGATAGGCAGAAAAAAAACCGCGCTTGACACGACCTACTACAAGTTTACTCGAGATGCGAGCGCATTATTACCTTTGGTATATTTCTAGCTATTGGCGTGATAATGGTGATAGGGAAGGATGCATTTGGGTCATCGGGCGAGATATGAAACGGAGGGTAGGGCCCACTCCCAACTAGTGTAATTAGTGGGCGATAACAATTGCTTGGGGTAATACACCACTTGCCTAGCATTTTATCCGTCCCGCCCATGTATGATTTTGCCCCAAAGACTAGCAATTACAAATTGGGGGCTTGGTACGACTGTAGGAAGGGAGGCAAGGGGTGAGATACTGCGTGGCACACCAAGACATCGACGTTGAATCTTGATAAAGTAAGTATTAACAAAAACGAAACTAGTTCATATTATCGATCAAGGAATACCACCTACCTAGGCCCGTAACTTCATGGTTTATTCTAGCTGGCAGGATCCTGTGTGGCTGCTAGAGGCGGTAAAGCGTCTGGCCAAGGATAGACCACTACCTAACCGGTTGGGTTGGTCGCCCTCCAGGGATCATTAAACCGCCATTGCGTGGCTGCTACTCAGAATGATCTAAATCTAGAGGATGATTGCATAATACATCCCCATGTGATTTCGCCCTCATTTCGCGGTTTGTCTCACCGAATAACCATGGACAATAAACAGCAATAAACAGCAATGCTTTTGCGACCATGGATGTTGTTGAGTACAAGACTGAGACGGAGCTAGCGTTCTTAGGTAGAGTTTGCGGTAACGTCATTAGCTTGGGATAACCCCTGAGGGCGGAAGCCTCGTAACAATCCAAGGCTCATGTGAATTGGTACCCTTTGAGGCTTTGTTGGCTGGGCTTTAGACTTTTTGTTTCATACGAGTTGAGCCTCCGGGGCGCTCAATCTGGGCCGTGACTTGAGTGCAGAACAGGACTACGAGCAAGATGGCTGAAGCCGCCCAGCGCCTCTGTCTTTGAGGCTAGGTGCCTACTGCTTGCTGGGGTGTCGGCCGATACATTAAACGAGAGGCGATCCAGAAGGCGTCCTCGTCAGAGGGGAAATCCCTGGGTGTATCGCCCGATAAAGCAGATTGGCGGGCGCCACGTAGTTCTTGATATGCGATGTCATAGACTTTGGCGTTGCGTTGACACGCCTAGTACTCGGGGCTCGATGGCATCTTGGGGAGGGGAATCACCGATGAGCTTCCCCCACACTTATCTCAATCCATGCCTGTGGCGACGGCCGGTGGCCGGTCAGGGAGGGGGCGGAATGTCGTAGCGTGCTGTGCACCTAGAGGGTAGCGCTGAGCGTGCTCTTTTGGTGGGGACACGGTCCCATGACGCATCCAACCAACCACCTGGGCCAAGCCACTCCCCTCTGCCTGCCTGAAGCGAGGACTGTCATAGGATCCTGTTCCCATCATCACTGTAGCCGAACCACGGAGATCCATATCGCAGCCCCAGTCCCAGGACTCAACTATAATAACCACCTTCCCAACTGCGTGAAATACTCAACCTTCAACTTGGACACTCTGCTCGATCGATAACGACCGCCCGAAATGAAGTTCTCTGCCGCTTGGTGTCTCCCAGCCCTGCTGGCCCCTACACTTGCTGCCAGCATCGCCAACGGCAACGCTCCGCTTGTCACCAGGAACGATGACCTTGCCGTTCCCGGCGAGTCTCCCCTCGAGTTTTGCGATGGCGATCGTTCATCGCATCTTGTAATCATCAACAAAGTCGACCTTTCGCCCAACCCACCCGCAGCGTATGCAGAACCCGCCTCCTCGAGAAGCATGGCGATAAGCTAATCGGTCAATAGTGGACAGGACTTGGTGATCAAAGCCGAGGGCATCGTTAAAGAGAAGATTGAGGAGGGCGCCTATGTCTCCCTCGCTGTCAACTATGGACTTATTCGTCTCATCACAACAGACGCCGATCTCTGCGAACAGATTGGCAACGTCGACTTGGAATGCCCTGTCGAGGCTGGCAAACTAGTCATCACCAAGACCGTCGAGCTGCCCGCCCAAATTCCACCTGTATGTCTGAGTGGCCGTGTTTATCTATAGTTCTCAATGCTAACAATGGGTTTCAGGGCACATACACTGTCGTTGCCGACGTCTTCACAGCTGACCAGAGGCGCATTACTTGCCTCAAGGCTAGCGTCACCTTCGGCCGAACTGGCTTCTTCAACAACGATCTCTAAGAGATAGGCCAGCCAAACCAACTTATCCATGCTTGTCCTCTTTCCCCTCTTCCTTCCATAATGTTCGGAAAGCATCGCAGGTAGATTGATTTTGTGCTTGTCCTACTTTGAGTTTTGCATTTCTTGAGCAGCGTTACTTCATCCCTTCGGTCGGCTTGCTTTTTCAATTTTGGATTCAGGTAGTATTAGTTATGAGGCGACCCTTTGTGTAGTTCATTTCAAAGGGATACATTCGTCTAAACCAAATCAATAGACAGGAATAAGACCTCAAGGCAAACCACGCACCAATACCTGATGATGATCACATGTGACAGACAGGCTCCCCAAGTCGCGCAGTACACGGCTGTTATGATATGTACTTCTAAAGAATAACTAAAGACGGTCCATTACTCTCCGAACAAGCGGCGCACTCGCCTCAGTACGCTGTCTTTCTCTGGGTCGTAGGGGTGGTCTTTGCTTGGAATCTCCAGAACCGTTGGGAAGGCCGCGGTGTAAGTGTCCACTCGATGCCGTATTTTATCAGCAACCTATGGTCCTGTTAGCCCAAGGATCCCACTAAACACTCTGGATCTATGCGACGCAAATGAGGGGCTACCGACATGCTGGTTGATCAACACGATGCCAATGTCTTTTCGTTCGGTGAATCGGTCAAACGCAGATTCGATCGCAGCCGTCTCAGTCTTGTTGTCGACGATGAGGAAGTTCTTCTGTGCATCGGAGCCGGTTGTGACATGCTGGGAATTCTTAGTATGTGTTCATGCCCGTCGAGCGGCGCCGCAATGCATCGTACTCACCCCGATGCCAGCTAGAAGTAAGCCTGTTACCGAGTCCTGGTCTACGTCAGTGGAGAGTCCTGGTACTAGCTGCGTGATTAGATGTGTGGAGGCATTGTGCTGCTCACCTCATCGCCAATCACAGCCAGGAATTGGCGATCCTTGAAATCAGCGTGGGAAGCCATCTTGGAGAAGTTGAAGACAACTTCAAAGATGGGGGAGAAGGATGATAGGATAGGCTGCGCCCAAGCTGTTTCCACGTTGATGGAGGAAGTGGATACCTGCGGTCTGCGCTCAGCAGGCTGGACTCCAGAGGCGGACCTATAGGCAGGCGAGTGGGTAGCAGATGGGTGACAGAATAAATGAGACACCAAAACGGCGGACATGCCGAGCATAGCACTACCTGCGATGACCAGAATAATACATAAGAATAAGAAGATCGTATTAGATAATATGAAGCGTATTGTCTAATCATTTTATAATTCTTTACGCGTAATTAATTGGAATTTACCTATTACTGTACCTAAGATAGAGTAGGGCCTGAACTTTGGTGTATGAATTTCAGTGTCACCGGTTGGGAGGTAGGCGGCCTTGGCAAGCACCAGTGGATCAAGTCGCTATAGGAACCTACTACCTAAGCTCCGTGTTGTGAGCACCAGCAACTTTTCTCAAGTAAACACCACAAAGGTGTGTGCTCTACGTCACCACCACCATTATCATTGAGAACTCTACGTATTGTCCTAACTGCTTTGTCACTCATTTGACTTGTTATTTGTCACTTTCCTTTTCTTCTACTTCCACTCCTTTGATCCACCTACAAACGCGCTGTTGACTCGGCATCATCGACTACCAACATGCCACGATTAGTCCGGCGCAAGCCGTTCATAGAACGCATGAAGGCGATGCTTAACCCCATGGACTTTCTGCTTTGGCTCTCGGAGGAAATGGAGACCAGGGACTGGGACTCTCAGCTTGTCGGTACACAAATTGGCCTGGCTCTGAACTTTGTGTTCCTGCTCGCTCGAGCAAACTCAGGGCCCAGTAGCTCTTCTGGAGACGACATATTTGGCGACGACTCTGGTGGTAGTTGGCTGAGATTTGTCGTAAGTTTCAAGAATGCCTAATCCTTTGGTCAAAGTTACACGCTGACTGTTTTTGAAGGTCCATCCTCTGGTCTGGGGGTTGGTATTCTTTTCTTGCACTCACACATTCTATGCCCTGAATCGCACCCGCAAATACCGACTATTCCAAGCCGACGTCGACGTCAAGCCATCAACTCCATCAGTACGGCGCGTGAAACTGCAGTCCGACATGGGCACATCCTCTCCGCTACGATATCTCATTGATATGGTTGCCCCCGAGTCGGCCGAATCCCGAGCGCATCCAGACAAGGCAAAGGACGTATGGGAACTGGCGGTTTGGGACCCCCTTCCTATCTCTGTCCGTCTCCTTTGCTTCTTCAGCCCTGGGCATGTTCTTGTTTACATCCTCTTCCTTCCACTTGCACCGCTCGACCCCCGTCCTAGTGTGACGGTCTTCAATGCGCTTCTTGTCCAAGTTGTTCTCTCCGTCCAGCTCCTCTTCCTTGTTTCGAGATTTACCCAACAAGGCCGAGACAATTCTATAATTCAGAAGGAAGTGATGAACGAGTATAACACCAAGTTTGTCCATCCTCGTATTCATCCTACCGTCAGAGAGGTGGGAGTGCAGGTATCAAGCGACAAAACAAATCATATCAGAGATGTCGTTCAAGTCGGAACACCCACAACTCTCGTTCAGAATTCATATTTCAGCCGACAAAGCTCACGTTCAAGTCCCGAGCTACCTGATAGTATCCGAAACAAACTGAGGACTCCTCGCATGTCAACACCTCCTTCCACATTACGACACTCAGATGTACATACGCCCGTCAGCGAAGCACGCACCCCACTGGCAAGGAAAAGTCTTCCTGCCGAATATACATCTACTGCTACTTCGACCTCTGCGTCGACTCCAGGCATCCCAGCCTCATCATCGACAGGGTTTGGCGGGAATATGGGTATCCACACACATAACAAATCTCCTTTGAAAAAAGCAATCAGCATGGGTGATATGAACACCTCTGATATGCCTTCACCAAGGAACTCGAGAGAAATGGCATCATTTGAGCAGCGAAACCAAGCACTGCACCGCAGCCCCTCAAAGGGGTCCGACTTCCAGGGCTCTACGAGACCGAACCCTTTCGCTGTAGGGGCCCCAGGTTTTAAGAACCGACCCAAATACGATCGATATCCTTCCATACGATGAAGGAATCCCTTGTGGTCTAGAAGGCTTTGATAGCCACCGTTATGTGGACTAGCTTCATGGGAGTTGTGGGAGGCGTTTTCATAGATTTACTTGGCACATGCCATTTCGGCGCTGGTTCCGTTTCTGGATTGAACATGATTGTATACTTTTGGTTTAATGTTTTGCGGAATCCAACCTACATACAGAATGCCATGATTAGGAAATTCATGTTTGATTTCTATTCTATCAGAATGTTCATCTTATCATAATGTTGGATGGTCGGTATGTATTCACCACCACACTATCAGTTCATGTCCTTATAAAATGAAAACAGACAAGATCGTCTAATGCATGTTAGTTTATCCGAAATAATAGTAATTCTCAAGCTGGCCGTGCGGCATAAACATATACCCCCCTCACTAAGGTCGTCTTACTCCTACTGCAAGAGGCGTGAATGCTCATTTTCCATGTCGCTTCTCGCGGGAGATAGCTTAGTTAGGAAGCAAATAGAGCACGGGTAATAGTATCTTCAAATTGGCAGGTGCCATTGATCTATCACGAGGTAGGTAGGTAGGAGGTACCTAACTTCCTACATACCTACCTAGGTACCTACCTCTCTACTTGCGTTGGGAGGTATCACACAAGGTAATGTACCTCCCTCAATGCACTGCTAAGATATCCTTAGATGAGAAACAGACGGAAGGCAGGCTCGAATGGGCTTTAGTTCCTCAGGCACGACTAATACCAGGTAACTGGGGCAGGTTCGACCTGCGAGCAAGCAGGCCCTTTCTTCCCACAGCTGCCTCGTATCAGCGTGATTTCCTTGCCCAAAACTCCAACTCATCTAATTGAAAAGGGCACCGATATTTCATCCTGTTCCCCGAATCTGCATGTTCATCTCGGATTGTTCTGCCAGTCTCAACTGGTAGTCAACAAGCTGAAGTGTTCACTTTATTCTTACTCTATTTCTGCCTGTCAGGCACCCAACATTTTGATACATTCCTTAGTACCTACGTCACTCCTTACTTAGCTAACAGTTCAACCCCAATTTCTTCTTTTCTTTCTCAGAATGGCCCACCCATTACCAACATCGGCCTCGGAACAGCCAATTCTTACTCGCCCTCCATCTTCCAGGCCTATCGAATCCTCTAGAAAAACAAAACAACGGCAAGGCGGGAAAAAGCAGAGTCAAAGAAGCCTGTCTCTTGGTGGATGGGTAAAAAACTTCCTTCCGAGCCAACGTCCTGAACGTGGAGGCACAATCAGAGACGGAGGCTACTGGGAACTGATGGATTCAAAACGCGACGACGGGCAGCAACCCGGAGTTCGCGCAGTCAGCGCTCATCGAAGTAGAAGAAGCCAAACCGGAGATTCTGATTTGCTGACTCGCTGGAATACGCCAAAAGAAATTCCTGCATTTGAGAACAGCAGCGGAATGTTTCCTTCTCGCCCAGAAGCATTTCCCCGATCCAACAGAGCTTCTTCCTTCTCAGAGAGAAAGTGGAGTTGGATTCCAGAAGATATGCGTCGGGATACCTTGTCAATTCAAAAACTTCGTGAAACAAAAGAAACTAAGCAAGCGCAATCGGATTCGGAACAAGAATCGAAGCCCGGTCCTTGGGCGTCCTTGACTGCGGACAGGCGTCTGTCTGAAACTCGACGTGCCATCGAGGCCAAGAAAGAGATTAGGCGCCAGCGAAAGGATTTGAAGGAGAGCGGCGATTATCTTGGTGTTCAAGGCATCAATCCAGAGACTGGCGTACTCGACATAATATCCCCAACCGAGAGCGAAAGGAGTGCGAGCCTACAAGCGGATGGAAAAGCCAGCACGCTCCAGCAGGTACTAAAGAATGCCCAAACCAAGTATAGCGAGGCCGTTCATCCAAGTGGAGCGGATGAGTTACAACCACGATCAAAACACGGGAAAGAAAGGATTCAACTGGGCCGCCTCTACCCGAATGTGAAATGGCGAAGACACACCAAACAGTGGTCATCGGCACAAGAGCCAAATTTGAGCCCGGTGGCTCAGTCTTTAAAGAGTGGTACACCAGTTTCAGGTATTGTAAACAGTCTCCCATTTTACTTTGACGCGTCTGACGCCGAGATGAACAAGATGTGGTGAATGCTTTAGACCCGGCAACACCAGGACAGTTAGTTGACCTGAATATCCCCGATGGCGGTGATTTGGGTGAGCAGGAGCTGAGCACACCTCAAACGTCCGGTGATACTTCAAAAACTTCTTTGACGGTGGTACATACTCCCCATCGGCTAAGCCACGCAGCTATTTCTCCCGCTGCCGTGGAGCTATTCGAGAATGGTATAGAGTTCAATGGAGAGAGCTCCGTAGGTAAGGACAAAAGAGGCCACACGGGACCAGAACGAGCCGAGAAAACTCCAGATGGTTCTTTTTTAGGTCGACAAACCCTGGGAACTCCCGGATCCCAGGGCAACACCAAAATAACCCCAACCCGCTCAATCAAAGACATTTCGAGCCTGAAGTCCCTGATTGCGACGCTCGACTCACAGCTGCAGAACCAGAAGGATAGTCTACTTCCAGGGGCTGCTACCGCACCGAACACCCAGAGAACCGGGCACGAACTGTTAAAGAATTCCAAAAGCGCCGATATGATCGGGGAGAAGGCCCAAAGACAGACCAGGGAACGGGAGCTTCAGCTCACAGATCGAGGAAGCCCTCTTCAAAAATTATCAGCAAGAATAAAAAGCCGTCAAAGGTCAAAGAAAAACCTACTTGCCACTACCAGAGTGTCCTCTCTGGATCATATTCTCAGGTCAGTGACGAATCTGAAGGAAGCAATGACAACAACGGAAGCCTCCTCGAAGGAAGACCTCGGACAAGCGGAGGAACTTGCCCAGTTAGAGATGAAAGTTGTCCCCACGAAGACCACAGATGCCAAAGAGATAACCGAAACGACTGCCAGCGACTTGGGCAGTCAGGTCAGCGAAGTAGACAAAGGGACGCAAAGCGAGTGGAAAATGCCGGCAGAGGACTCAGTGAAAGACCAGGGGTGGAACAACTGGGCCCAGGACGTAGTTCAAAGAATGGTCGAGAGGAGCGAAGGGGTCAAGGACGACCCTGCATCCACATGCATCACCACCACTACTGGCTCAGGCCAGACGATGTCTCCATCGAGCCAAGAGCGAGAGCCCCAGATCGAGAAAAGGAACTCCGTTCCCTCGAGCCAGAGCTTCAGCAAATCAACGCCGACCAACATGACTGCCGGTGGGAAAGAGTACCGGATGAATCATGCACCGAGTACCTCGCTGAGCTGCAAACTAGATCAAGAAATCGATACTATGTCGACTGCAACCACCGAGCAGAAATTGTCAGGAATAGCCCAGACAGACTTTGTTCCGACAACAGAATGCCAACATACCCACAGCATATCACCAATGTCTATATTGGCCATGGATCGACAAAAAACGAACTTGACAGCAAAAGCACCTGGGTTGGAAACAACTGCAATCTTAGTACAAGAGAAGTGCATAACCCTTCGCAGGGAGCTGTCCCAGTCACAAGAGAGCACTATTCAGGGTCCGATTGCGGAAATGCAAGTCGGGCAGCTACTGGAGCCGGCGGAGCGGTCAACCCTCCATGTCGAGGAGAGCTTGGGGAAGTTAATGATGAGCTACCCGGGGTCGTATCCTCACCATCCAGACGCCAACGACGACATCGCCAATCTTTTGAGTAGTCTAATGAAAGATATGGGATCTTGTGACCTACCCGATTTTCATCTTCGACCACGCGAGAAAGGAGTGTTGGTGTTTTGTAAAGAGGGCCTCCAAACGCTGCAGTCAGTGCTACAAGAATACTTCCGACTGTTCTTGGCCCCTTATATTCTTCCTGGCCCGGGACCGCATAGGAGAGTGGAGGATCCCAACACGATTCTTCATAATGTTGCAATTTTGTTCTTGACTTTCCCCGGAGCCTGTCTTGCCGCATGGGCCTTTTCATAGGGAGTCAAAGTCGCTGTGGCTGCTATACGGACTGTTGTTATAAATCTGTTCTCCGAAGAATGAAGGCTGAATATTATGAGTTATCCACTGGAAGGAGCTTTTGGAGTTTGACAAGGAAGAAGCCGAAGCGGCGATGATTCAACATTTCTCGGTCTCTGTTGTGGGATATATGATGTGAGTAGTAGTGTTGCTAATGGATCAAGCGGGCTTGCATGATAAGTCAAGCCTGATGATGAACTCATGGACTCGTCGGTTCTATATAATTAGATGATGGTTTCAATAAAAATTCTTATCAAAATTATCTCAGCATTCCAGCGTGAACGACAAACCCTGCACTCGTCCTAAGTTTCTCGGGAAGAGTATCATCAGGAAACCTCCAGACGCGAAAGTCTTTGTGGAATTCAGTTAACCAAGTCTCAAAGACCTCGTCACTGCGAAGCTGCTGTGCAACGATGCAGACACAGGGTTTATTAGTGTCTAGGGAATCCTCCTTGCTTTGCCTGAGTTTGCAAGCATCCGCGCAAGTCTGCACCAGCGGAGGAACCAGGGCGTAGTTGTAAACGCAATCACAAGCGAGGACAAGGTCAAAATCCCCCGATGGCCCCGGGGCGAGCTCGCTTGTCACCTGGTCAGTCTCCCAGTCGAGAGTGGCGAACTCGACAGAAGCCGATGAGGGAGAGGAAGAGGAGGCAGAGGCTTTCATCTTGGGCGGTCGACGCGCAGCGGGGCGTGCCCGTGCGTGCTCTCCTTTGCCATGATTCTCAGAGATGTTTCTCGAGACGAGGCGCTGTACGTAGGGCTGGTCGGTTAGGAGGATGTGGGATACGTGAGGCGCGAGGGCGAGCCCGTTGAGCGGGGATATCCCGCAGCCGAGCTCGAGGACGGAGGAGGCCGGGGAGAGGATCCCCGAGGAGAAGAGCGGGTTGGACGGGGAGGAGATGAAGGATGCGAAGATGGGGTTGATCTTCCAGAGGACTAATCAAGACAGTGGGGGGTCAGAAACAGGGCCAAGTGCGCAGCAGCTTGAGATTTGTTGATCTCTCTGTGCCGTTTTCACTGTACGGGGATGGAGGAGGGGGCTTCAACTCACCAGCACCCGTGGTCCCGCCGGCCCGGCTGGAGGAGAGGACGGTTGGCGACTGATGGATGGTGTACTCCCTATCGTGTACGACGACCTCGACGGACGAGGTAGTGGGATCTATGAAGCCCAGGTTCTGGGACGGTATTTCCTGAGAGAAGAGCAGAAACGTCTCTGCCCAATAATGTGAGAACTTCGCTTGCCGTTACATTCGCATCGAGTTCAATCCAGCACTTACCTTCTTCTGGATCCTCAATCTCATCCCCAAGTTTTGATGTTAAAGCCTCGAGGGCCATCAGGCTCCGTGCTGTTTACCACGTCTGAAATACACTGCAATGAGAATTGAAACGTATTGATGCAACCGTACCAGTTAAAAATATCAGCCGTAGGATAAGAAGCAGGCAGTCGCTGAGTTATTGTGAGTAGAATACTAGAAATGAAGCTGTTGCAGAATGTAGCAGTTGATGTGAGCGAGGTGACTGAGGCTCCACCAGCAAAACTGACAGGCGGCAGACTAGAGATCCAACACCTACACGGATCCATCGATAAATGTATCCATCCGCCTGAAATCTGGTAACCAGCGACTACGTGTGCTGCGGTGAGAGGGTTCACTTCACCATGAGGAGTGAGCTGGTTTTGAAAGAATATCTGGTCAATTAATACCTCTTGCAAGGCTGACTTTTGCAATGGCCAAAGTTATCGAAAAATGCACGCACGCCTCATATTCTCACTTCCGAGTACCGAATCCCATAAAGAAGAAGAGCCCAATTCAACCGCAACAATGATAAGAACGCGTGGTGACACAGCCGCAGTCTTTACTACGATCTTCATTCAACCCCTGCCATGTCCCAGATCATAAGACGACATCAAGCCTTGCCTTCCCTTTGCTTCCAACGTCGAATTGCTTACACCAAGCCATCGTACAAGGACAAAGCACAAACGATGGTTTCGTCGCGCTTACTTCCCTCCTTGAATTCCTCAGCGTCCAGGCTGCCATTTTCATCCTTGTCCATCATGGCAAAAATCTTCTTGACTCGCTTTTCTGGGGTGTCCTCATCCTCTGGCAATTTCACCATGGACCCGACCTGCGCCATTCGTTAGCAAAACTCCTAGCAGAAGACCACTATGATCTCTGGGTTTATACCATTTTGTAGATAGCCTCGACAATCTGAAGCATTTCGTCGTAACTGATTTTGCCATCACCGTCAATGTCGTACAGCTGGAACGCCCAGTCGAGCTTATCCTCTGTCTTGCCACGACTGGTTACACTCAGCGCGCAAATAAATTCCTTGAAGTCTATGCTCCCAGAGCGATCGCTGTCGAATACATTGAAGACATATTCGGCAAATGCGCTTGGGTCACCAAAAGGGAAGAACTGGCGGTAAATCTTTTGAAATTCTTCTTTACTAAGCATTCCCGATGGGCAGTCCTTCAGGAAACCTGCGAGGTGGAAGAATCAGCGTGTCTGCTCTTTTTTTGGATCCAATCAAGTCCAAATGTAGGCGGCGCACCTTTATACCATTGCTGGAGTTCCTTCTTATCAAAATGAGTCGACTTTTGGAGCTCAGCAAGTTGATCTTGCGAGAGCTTGGACTGTCTGTAGAAAAAGTATAACATTAGTTTTTGGACTGGTTCTGTACCCCATTTGAGCCATCGGTGCTAATAACGTAGGATCCCCAAACATCGCCATGCTGCAATACTCGAACCCGGAGGTATGACAGTGTCCCCTCGAGACGGATGATGTCATGACGACTAGGGTTGCCTAATATGAAATCTCGAAACCCAAAGGCTCTCGCTACTTACGATTTGCCCATACTAGCCAAGAATTCGGTCGTCTGTTTCCAAGGTAGCGAACGACGTGGTGCTGCTATGGCGGAAGGACCAGCGAGAGAAACCGGGCCAAAAGAACGTACGCAATGGCACAGTAAAGAGCGCTACCTTTGCGGGTTACTGGTGCCTGCCGTTGTCGACAAGAGGCGATCGAAAAAACAAGATGACTGCCAACTGTTCCCAAGGAAAAGGTGCTCAAATTATCAGGGGTTGTGGTTTCGTTGTCGGCCGGTCGCGGGGATGGATGATCCAGAAATCGATGGTGGCGGTTGTTCCCGTTGAGTCGTCGCGAAGCCGGTCCCACACGCGAGTCGGTTAAAGCGTCGTAAGCAAGTCGTCAACGCGAGAGTCGTAGGTGCGCGATTAGGTCACAGGGAGTTGTTGTATCTCGAGATGGGACACGGTGGTGGGCGCTCGCGCGTGTAAGGACGAGGGGATGTGAGAGGAGACTGGGGGAGGTGGCGGTCCCCGGTAATGGCCAGACCAGGAAATACGGTTTGTGGGTGGTGTGTACTTGGGTCTGCCCAGTTTCGCCGCTGATGGTTGAAGAGGGGCTAAAATAGATGGGCTATCAGGGTGCTAGGTTCTGTTCCTCTTCAGAAAGGGAAAGGAAAGCCGGTGAATTGCTGCTCCAGGTGGCAATTATTGAGAGGTTGCGGGCAAGGCGATGATGGACGACGGATGAATGGGGTTCCAGATGGTACAAGGTGAAGAGTGCAGGAGAGAGGATGTATCATCAATGTCACAAAAGAACCAACAAGCAGCCACCAACACGCACTCCGACGAGACGCCTATAGAGGGGCCTGGAGGGACTGGTGGGTGCGACGGAGGGTCCTTCTCAAAACAGGCAGTTGGGAGGGGTCCAGACAGCCCCTTCCTTGTATGTCTGGTCCGTCGGCTTGTTCCAGGTCGTTTCGTTGGGAGGCAGGATGGGGGTCGCGCGCTGGAGCTGCCACAACGGTCTACTTTTCAGTTACTGGCCGTTGCCGCAATAAAGCCGCCAGCGCTCCAGTAGTTCCGAGGTACTCAGTTGCGTGCTCATGTCCCGTCCATTCTCGAGATTCGGTGCCCGAACAAGCCAAACAAACATGTGACCCTTTTTTATTGCTCTACCGGGCGGGAAACTGCATCCAGTGTGGATTTGTAATATCAACCGGAGCAGTTTCGATCGCACGCATCGACCATTCGAGAAGCACTGAGACTTGATTACCTACCTACCACTGCCTATGCCAGTACATGCATGCATGAATCCTTCACAGCGCCAGCCCTACAGACTCGCTCGCTCCTCTCAAAGGCCTTTTGCTCCTAGCGACCCAGAATACGGGGTATCCGAATCTTCTATTCTTACTAATTAATAGATACCTATACCGAACGGAGGTGTCATTTTGCAATACCACTCTACCAGCCATTCTCCGGATCCCAGATCCGTTCTGTCGTCTGAAGACCCCCTCAAGCTTCTCGAACTCTCTTGGAAGTTTTTGTCTACCACTCAACACTCGGAAAGCAGATCTTGTTAGTTCCACTTCCACAGGTACCGAACGCAGGCATCAAGGCACTTTTCTGCTGCGGTCCGCACCTTGAGCCGATCATGTCTTTAGATTCTATACTTAATAATGTAGGTTGGGGGAATAATTTCAGTGCTCTCACTGTCCAGATAGGCAGTTTCAGTTACTCTTCTGTTGACCCCGCCACTACCGTATGTTAATAGAGAGGGCCCTCTAATTTCAACATGTCCCATTTCCAGGTTCTCATCGCTTGAGGCTACCTAGGCACTTACCTAAACAACCAAGGTAGGTACGTAGATCGACAAATATTTCGGCACAAGAGTAATGTCGTATGCAGTAAAAAATCTGCTGGGCCTCCGGCAAAGACTGGGCTTCAGACGCGGCACAACTACCACGTGAATATTTTTAGTTTCACGGGGCTAGATGTGGTAAGATCGACGGATTAGCAGTCCAATCGGCGCCTCAATCGTACATCATCGAGACCCAATCTACCACGAGAGTCGTATGCGGACCCCAAGCTATTCTAAATTTCAGATAGCCGCCGTCCTTGCTGACGATATGCGAATGTCATCATTACAGTATGCCTTCAGGAGACAGAGGTTTGTCAATAAGTCAGATAGGTATCTAATATATTTTGACATAAGTACTTAGTTGGGCTAAAAAAAGACCTGTCACTGGTATGCTGTCTTGCAAAATGAAACGTGC